GGATGCACCGAGAGTGACGAACGAAAGAACACTGGGGACAGCACGGACACTGGCAGAGAAGCCACGCTGCGTCAGGAAGACAGAACTGCGCTCAAGACCCTGAACTGCACACACAGAAAACAAAGCCGCAGGCGTGAAACAGTGTGTGGAGCGACCCCAGTGTCTGAAACCGAAATTGAAAGTCACCAGTGGGAAGGATACACTTCGTGGTCAAAGGACACGACCTCCCCACCACTGTGCACTAACAGTGCCCGGCCTCCCATGCTATTCACACCCGTGGTTAGGTCCACACGCAAGGACACTAACTGGTGCAACACCTGGGCCACACCGCGGGGTCTGGGGCCAGCTAACGACCCCCAGGATGGGCAGGCTACGGGAAGGCTGCTGGTGAGAGCTGGAGAGGCGGGGACGACCACGGAGTGACCGGGCTGAGCTCCTGAAAAGTGGCTGTCATGAGTGCATTTTATTATAAAAATGTCTTACGTGCAGAAACACCACTATTTGAATAATTTAAAGGTACTGAATTTAATACAAACGTTATGAACTAGGTATCTGTACTGTCTATTCAACAAACAGCTATCTCAATGCAATGAAAGATGGTTACCATTCTCAGGCTCTCTCAAAACATATTCAATTGTTTCTAAAATCACTATCTATCACCTTGGCTGGTGTAGCTCAGTGGATTGAGCACAGGCCTATGAACCAAAGGGTCACTGGTTAGACTCCCAGTCGGGGCACGTGCCTAGGTTGCGGGCCAGGTCTCCAGTAGGGAGCGCGTGAGAGGCAACCACAAACTAAGTTTCTCTCCCTCTCCACATCACTCCCCCTCTCTAAAAAATAAATAAACAAAAACCTAGTAACAAAACAAAGGTTCGTATTGTCCTTATCACAAAACTACTCTGACTATATCATCTCAAGGAAAAGACTTCTCAAGCAGTGTCAAAACAAAAATGTTAAATGTCATCTTCAAGAAAACTCTTATAATTGATCTCTTCAAAACCTCTATCATTGCTTCAAGTGTGTACTGAAAAATACTACAAATAAAGTTTCGCAGCTAAAGCACTTCCGTGATTGTCTAAAATGTTGTAATAAAAAGACAGAAAATCTTTATCTACAATTTTTATTTTACTCCCTTTCTTCTTACTAAATGTATGTTAACAAAAAAAACCTTCAAATGACATAGACAAAAGCTTTTAGCTTAACACATAATTGCAAGAAAATTACAGTAATTGTACCAATTAAAATAATCTTGAATGAACAGTACGTCATCTCAATGTTCCAATGGTTTATAGAGGGTTCTACTAAATTAGCTGAAATTGCTTTCCAGTGTTAGTATCAAATGTCATGTGTTAAAAGTGAACAATTTAGAAAATAATTTAACAAAGCAATTTCACCAAACACTAAGAACCAACATTTTCTTTTCCAGCCGAATAAAGCAGGCAGATGTGTCACAAATCGCCATAAAAATGAATGAGGCTGTAGATGGATTTAAAAATTTACTACTTGTAAAATACTATTACTTGTAAAATACTGTTACAGTGTTAAAAATACTATTTTCTGATTGTTTTTACCAAATCAGATTTCTTTAATAAAAAGAAAATCAGTATTTTCTTTAAAAAATACTATTTTTTAAAAATTTACTATTTGTAAAATACTAATACAATGTTAAAAATACCATTTTCTGGTTATTTTTACCAAATCAGATTTCTTTAGTAAAATAAATGGATATCAATTACATACTGCTGCTTTTGTCTGCTATAAATAACTTTTTATTATTCAAATGACAAGCAATAGCATTAAAACTCAACCACAGTTCGTAGAAGCAGTCATTGATATTACTTTAACAGTCCAATCTATGTTCTTTCAATATGTTGATCAAATTGTCTTCCCATAGTTTTTCATTTAAATCACCTTAAATTCAGTTATTTTGAGTCCGTTTCTTCATGAATGCTCAAAGGTTCTTACTACATTGTCTTTTTCTCTCCCTTAGAGCATCCACAAAACATTCTTTGTGAGCATTTATAGGCATATAAGACATACGCGTTTATTTAAAGAACACAAACATCTCACGATCACCCTGAATACAGCCCATTCAGAGATGGCAAGCCCACCAAGGGCTGGAGTCTACAATGGTGGGTCAATTAAGTAGCAAAACAAAGTCATCATCTCTTATATATACCTCCAATTTAGAATAATCTATTTTTTAAAATATTTTATTTATTTATTTTTAGAGAGAGCGGACGGGAAGGAGAAAGAGTGGGAGAGAAACATCAATGTGTGGTTGCCTCTCATGTGTCCCCCACTGGGAACTGGCCTGCAACCCAAGCATGTGCCTTGACTGGGCATCGAACTGTAATCCTTTGCTTCATAGGCCCGCATTCAATCCACTGAGCTACACCAGCCAGGGCTTATAATAATCTATTTTTACTTAAACAAAACACTCCCCCTACAAAAGTTTAAGTTACTTTTCTATGTTTAAATCTCCTATTAAATTTATTGGCTTCTTTAAAAGGAGGCAAGATTTCAGAAAGGCGTGTTATATTCAGACTACAATTTCTCAAATGAAATCAAATTAGTCCTCATCCTCTTTGTATCCATGTTCCTGCCATCATCCCAGAGAAAAATTTAACAGAGCCCTAACAGGTGTGGCTCAGTGGGTTGGGCATTGTCCTGCAAACCGAAAGGTCACAGTTCAATTCTTGGCCAGGGCACATTTCTGGGTTTGGTTCCCAGCGAGGGTGTGCGAGAGGCAACCAAAAGGAGTCTCTATCTCACACCGATGTCCCTCCTCCTGCTACCCCTTCTCCGTCCACCTCACAGACTGGCTGGGCACAGGTAGTTTAAATGGCAAGAGCTCCGGGAGCTGGACGGAAAGAGCTCGGCTAAAAGAGCTGAGTGACTTTGCGAACTCCAGAACTCTCTGAACCACATTCATCTTTGCTGACACCATGGTCCCACTCCAAGCACGTCCCTGAGCCTGTAAAAACCCACGAGGAGCACTCAGGCACGGAGAGGTGAGCCTGGCACTGGGGAGGGCGGGCTGGGGCACACACTGCAAGGGGCCGTTGCCAATGTGAGCAGCCCCCCTCCCCCCAGCCCCAAGATGGACACCCAGCTCTCCTTCCCATTTGCCAAGGTCCTGAGACACAGCACATGCCCTCAGAGCAACACCGAGCGGTCTGGGCAAAATGAAACACAAGCACCAGTTCACAGTTCCCAAATGAAGACTCGCCCTTGTTCTCTGATATATTTGTATTTACACAGAAACCACCGCAACGTCTCAGGGACAGAGGAAGGTGTCAAAGGACTACCTGTCCACGCCAATGAGGGCTTTGTGTAAAAATAACCATATGAAAAGTAGATCCCACTCTGCTGATGTGAATTATTGTTAAGTCAAAACTTCAAAAGTTATTTTAACTGTTTTATAAGACCTGCATTCATCTAGCAAACGTTCATAATTACACAGTATCTGTGTTATTATGCACATGTTTATTTAGAAAACATACCAATCACATTATCTCGTAAGATTTCTAAACCATCAAAGGGCAGACACAGCCGCTGGAGGCCCTGTGGCAGTTACGTGTCGCTGCCCCCTACTGGACACCCGCTCTGGGTTCACACAGCTGATTGAACTGAGCACGAACAATCCAGAAAACCACAATGAGCTCGGAGCTGTAGACTAATCCTATAACCGCCTCCACAATTCCGAACTAGTTATCCACGTAAAAAACATTAAATCAATCCTGTACATGAAAAATGGGGATTGCAAAGTAAGGAAAACCATACGCTGACAATATTCTAAGGAAAGAAAAATTTGAAACCTATTTTCTTTTTTAGTGTCCATGAGATTTACTGAAATCGCTGAGAAGGGGGTTCCGTGGCCCATGAGGAGGGAAGGTAAGAGCCCTGTGGAGTGGGGGAGAGTGGTGTGAAATCTTTTTGATATACGAACTAGAAACTAAATGCTTCAGTAGGCTTAGCATTTCATTTACAGGCACAAAATAGTAGTTTCAATTTTACTGAGTTCTATAAAATTATATAAACTATAATACATTCCTTTGCATTATTCTATGTTCTCTAAGAGATGGTTTATTTAGAGTAGCGACTGAAAACTTTGAAGGTATTAAGTGTTCTGGTGAACAAAGAGGACTATAGTTTTAGTTCTGATATTTTACATACTTGGCATTTCACTGAGCCTTAACTGCATGTCTTTCAAAAAATGTAATCAATTTCTTTATCAAAAGTAGAAATTTAAAGTATTCAAATGTCTAAATATAAAAGAACAATACATCCCTCTATTATTTAATTCAAGGAATGTTTTCCAATCAGTGTTCACGGTTCCTAAAACCCCTCATATACGAAGCTGAGAAAATACTTGTCCTAATGATTTGGAAAATATAACTGCCTTACTATGAAGACATTTAGAATAAAAATACAATGGAAACAAGTAATAATGTTTTAAGCATTGCATTTTTACATACGGATTCATGAAGCAAATAGGACTATTAAACATTTTATCACAGCTTACAATGAAAAGGGACAGTTATATCCAAATAAAGCTAAACATTTAAAAAAATATTTTGTTAGTTTATTTTCAGAGAGAGGGGAAAGGAGGGAAAAATGGAGGGAAACATCTGATGTGTGAGAGAAACATTGATTGCCTGCCTCTTGTGCCCCTACTGGGGACCTGGCCCACAACCCAGGAAGGTTCCCTGACTGGGAATCAAACTGGCCACCTTTCAATCTGCAGGCCAGTGCTCAATCCACTGCACCACACCAGCCAGGACAAAGCTATAAATTTTCTAAGATGTGATAAGTAATATACTTGTGCTAATACAAACTCCAGAAGTACAATGGAATTAGTGAGAGACTTTAGTTGAATTTGGAAGTGTCCATTTTATATATAACATTTTGTATTCATTTTGCTTTAAATGCATTAACTTTTTTCTGAAAAGTGAACTCGATCTAAGACAAAGTTAAATATGAAAAGACTGAAGTACCTTTCATAGATGGCCTTCAATGTCATCTGATCTGGAACACCTTCAGTCTCTTCCAAATACAGGATGAGCCACGAGGTGCGGTAGGGCCACTGCTCGGTCAGGTTGATCCAGCTCGCAAGCCTGTCCCAGTTGAAACTAATCTGGTTGGCTCTCAGCAATCGCCCTGGAAGGCGCACAAGGACATTTTAAAGTCAACAGACGTGTGATGCTATGCTAAGCAAAACACCTGGCAGATTCACTGATAATTTAACTTTCGATCTTTGCAACCTGCCATCTAAGTTACACGACAGACACGGACCAACTGTGTCAAAGCTGCTACCACCTGAAAGCTCTACTGGGAAGCTTCTGGGGCTCCCACCAACCCTGGCCACTTCTAATGTCGCTTTTCATGTGATTTCCCACTGGGACTGCGCCGACCACACGGCTTCAACTGCGTACACGCAGCACGGCGTGTCAGGCCGCCGTGTGGCAGCCCACAGCCACACGGCAAGGTACAGGGTCACGGGGGACAGGGTGGCCCAGACGTACCGGTCCCTTCCGTTTCACCACGCGTGAGCGTGTGACCCCACACATCCACTCCCAGGTGGGTCATGTGTGTCTAAAATTCGTTCACACAGCTCTTCAAAGTCCCGCCCGTCCCCGGGGCTTTCAAGCCCCAGGGCAGGGCCATGACGGGCACGCTCTCCCGGGGACAGCTGCCACCTCGCACTCTCAGAGCTGCCGCCTGCTCCTGCCCCGTCACGTCCTCCTCCATCCAGCCGGGGCTCTGAACGGCGGCTGTCACTGCTCTGCGGTTTCACGGGCTGTTGGTCGTGCCTGGTCGTCACCAGTCGGTTTGCATCTGACCAAGACCCACTGTTCTGGCTCCCACGTGAACGAGTCAGCCCTCTCCCGACTGCTGATGGAGACGCTCTCCACCCAGGTCTGCGCGCACCCCCCAGGTCTGCACCCCACAACCCCTCTGCTTATTCGAGTGAGCTTTCTCCTCGGAGGGGGTCTGGCCTGCTAGATCAGTGGCAGGGTCTTTACCTTGTACCCAAGTCAGCCTGAGAGAGAAGAAAGGATTTTTTAAATCTTCAAGTTTTAAAATGACAGCGCACAACTGGTGGTTGACTGCTGTCGTCAAAGCTGACACTGGCTTTGCAAAATGCGCTCAGCGCAGATGACACCGCAGGTCAGCCGCGGCAACACAGGAGCACAGTGCGGGCCCTGTCTCTGAAACGGAACTGCTCCGTAATGTCAGAGCCGCTCTCTACGGGAAGACGGTGAGGAACAAGTCACCTGTCACAGAAACAATGTTGAGCAGCCTCCTCATGGTCTGCGGGCTTATGTCACTGAACCAGTCCTCCGTCACCAGCAGCTTGGTCAGATCGAAGGACAGCTGCCGGGTGACGGTGCGCTGCATCTGCCGCCTCCGGTAGGTGTCCTGGAACAGCCGCAGTGGGGAGACTGAGCCGCGCTGCCTGTCTGAGGACACGGGACGTCCTGGGGGGCAGCGCGTGCTTCCAGCCCCACGACGCAGTCTCAGTCTGTGGTGGAGGAGGGAGAGGCTGCAGACTGAGTGGGAGCAACCCACCCCCAAGGGAGGGCCCGAGGCAGCCTCAGCTGCAGCTCAGTGGCAGTGCGACCTGTGGCTGCACCGCTACCGAGAGCTCGGCACCTTGAAGATGGCAAGTAAGCAGAAATATAAAAAGAGCATCCAATTCACCTCTCGTAGGAGCTCAGGGTCTACAGGGACCCCGAAATAACGAAGCAAAGAGCTCCCACCCTAGTTTTAAGGATTCAGCATCTTTATTTTTGTTTTTTAATGTGTGACAACTACCTAAAAGGCACAACTGCTCTGCCCATCCTCACATCTGCATTCAATGCACTAAATCAAAGTAATTGAATCAATTAAAGGTACTTTATGGGGGGCGGGGAGAAAAATGCCACTCAATGAGGAGGAACAGGCACAACAAGCTGTCTTCTCTTCAAAGGTCATGGACCAAGGGAATGGTGGGCGCCCCCACAGGGAACCCCAGGGTTCAAACTCTCGGGACAGAAATTCAAAGGGTGAGTCACACCCCGCTGAGTCCGCATCATCACCTGTCACTCATAACACTAATCCTGCATCCCTAACTGCATGTGGGGAGGCATAAAATCAGAATGTCAAGACGTCACTGAAGACACATTTTTAAATGTAAAATACCCAAATATGGATCACACACTTAAAAAACCCCAAACCCCAACACCCCAAAAACCAGTGCCAGTGAAGGCGTGGGCTAGGAGAGGAGCAACCAGCATGTCCCGGGAGGAAAGCCAGGCAGCTGGGAGGGACACGCAGTCACCGTGCAGGTACAGCAGGCCATCCCTCCAGTCCCCAAACCCCGGGGTGGGGGGGAGAGGAAGGCAATGGGAAGCCAGAGCAGGGGCCTTCCTGCCACGACCCACCACCTCCCCCCACTGCTTCGGGCCAGCGGTGCCAGAGTGAGCACAGAGTCTCCTGCCGGGTGAGCGCCGAAGGGGCTACGAACCCCCCTCAGGAACTCGGTGCCGTGGAGCAGGTGGCGGGGAGCAGGCGGGGGTGGGGAGGGGAGAGGTCATGGCTGCTGCAGCCGTAGGCTTGGACGCTCCCTGAGAACCACTGAGCAGAAAGGAAAACCAGTGACAAATGTCACTTGATGAGGGTGGTTCACAAAAGACCATAAAGTGACACCCCCTTCACTTTACTTGAGTGACAGCGACACAACACATGGCTTGAAACGAGCAGCGTCTCACCCGCCGGTTGAGGGCTGTCCTGCTGCCGAGTTTCGTCATCTCCCCAAGGCTGACCTGTGAGACTCTTCTGTCCGCGTCCTCCTGGGTCCCTTCAACGACAGACCAGAGCGCCATCTGTGCTGGTGGCCGTCACACGCGACAGCGAGAAAGAAGTGAGCCACCGACAAAACTTGCCGAGGCGGCAAGGTGGGTCGCCACGAGAAACTGCAGACCCCTCCCGTCCCAAAGCCCCCGCGGAGCCTGCCCCTCACCTGCGGCATCCGAGCACGGAAGGTCGCCGTTGGTGGCCGCGGAGACCAGGTGCCGCCGGGCGCCACTCAGCCCGCGGCTGTTCAGGAAGACGGGCAGGTGCACGATGTTGCGCATGTAGTCGTGCCCGTTGATGTTGGAGTCGCGCAGCACGCCGCTGAGGTTCTGGTTGATGGCCTTGATGATGATGTGCGGGTCGCTCGCAAAGATGGCGATGAAGGGGCCTTTCGAAAACAGAACCCGGACCTGCGGGGGAAGGTGGGCACCTTCACGACACGAGTGTCAAGCTACCTGGCGTAAGAGGAAGTTTCTTCAAAGTCCGCGTTGCCCTTCGAAGACTACGTTTTTAAAAACTGTTTTCCACCAAAGCACCGTTCCATAGGAAAGCAAACACTACGGACGTCTCCGTCTGGTTCTGCACCCAACACACCTCCAGCACTGGACAGAGGCAAAGTCTCCCCGGAAAACAGCAAGCAAGCCCTGCCCGCCCTTAGACACACGGGGTCCACATCAGGGGCAAGATGGGCACATGTGAGAAACGCCCATGAACACACTCAAGGCACTGGGCACACTGGCCTCTGCCCAGTCTCACACTGGTGCATACAATGCACCCACAGAGAGCCCCGGGGGGCCCAAATGAAACGAGAACCCCCGTGGGCTCCCTGCCTTCCCCGCTCACATGCGCCCTAACCCCCGGGAAGGGAAAGCCAGAGTCCACGCGAGGTGGACAGCCTTCAATAACGAGCTCCCCCGGCCGGCCCTGCCCCCACTCTGCCAGTGAGTAAAAGTTCGCTCAAGCTGTTTGGGATGAGGTATTCACTCTTGCTGTGTGTCAGCATGAAAATGGTTATTGTTACAAAAGAAAAATGAGCTATTCATGAAGTCACTCCCCCCAGCTGCCATGGGTGACAGTCACAAGTTTCAAGATGGGGAGACGTACGGTGTCCAGCATCTGGAGCACTCTGTCCTGCTCGCAGGCATCCAGCCCGTCGATGATGACCACCAGCCGTGTCTGGTTCTGCGTGAAGCTGTCGATGGTCTTCGCCATCCTGGCCATCAACTCCACCTCGCACTTCAGGACCTGCCGGGGGAGGACAGACAGCCCTGAAGACACGAGGGGCCAGCATGCTTCCTGCAGAGCCTGACAGAAGTCCCCTACTGAGAAGAAAGGGGTCCGAAGTGCCCCTCAACCGCAGTGGGCCCGTCACACTTCCCAAAGCGACTTCACTCACATGGGAGTGTTTCCCCCTTAAAACGAGGCAGGGCCTGTCGCTGCCTGTTCTTTTATTAAACTGGGTTGAGTGACTTCTTTCCAAGATCAAGCTCTGAAGGTCTGAAGTATGAGATCTGAGTGCAAATCTGAACGACCCAACTGCAGGTGGCGGACAGCACATGGCCTTGACCGACGGCAGCGCGGCAGATGCTGCGCTCAGTCCCTTGAGTTCTGAAGAGCGACCCTATTTTCTCTCTTGGCGGTTCAGGCTGCTCATTCCACCAGGCTCTAGGGCGGCAGCTTCCAGCCTCGTTCAATTCACAGGACACATCAACTAATTACTAAAGTTTCGTGGTACATCATGAAATACTTAGTTTTTGGCTGATCTGACAAAAAAAAGGTGTAACTTTGATTTATACAAAAATAATAGTAATTACCTACTCTTTTTGCTCCAAAGTAACTTTAAAAAAAAAAATCAAGTGCCTATACTTGCACATTAAGATTTCTGGTACCAAAAATTAACCAATCAGATGCAGCCTTATTATGTGATGAGACCAATAAGATGCAACTCCGTTATATGACCTGTATGTTTGTGGTTCAAGACAGGGCTTTCCCACTGCATGGCTATGGTGTTGGCTGTTATTTTTTTATTTGACAATCTAAGGGAAAAGAGGTCAGTGCCCCTGACTAAAGAGCCAAGTTTTTGCAGCGCACCAGCTGAAAATCGCTGCTCTGGAGGAACCCACATTATTAGGTAGGAATTACCACCTGTGAAGTAACCAGTCTGCTAATGCTTTGACATCTGATAAAAGTCTATTTTATAAAAGCACATTCTTATGATAACTTCTCCCACTTCAGATACGCATTTCCACAGGAAACACCTGGACTGAAACTAAAAGGCAACATGCGAACACTGAGCACGTGCACGCCCCCAGCCCAAACGCCCGCAGGCAGCCGTGGGCGCCCACTCTCAGCACAGCCACCCCCGACAGCCACCGAGCGCTTACTTTCATGAACCCCTCGCTTTTCAGCTTGTGCAGCTTGGAAGCAGCGCTGTGGAGGCGCTTCCTTTGGGAATTCAGGAGGGAGTCCAGCACCTGCCACCAGGTTCGACAGTTCAGCACGAAGGCTAGCCCCACAACAGACGCGATGGATATGAGGATGGCATTCACGGTCAGGTGCTTCGGGTCGACCCTGAAGATGGCCAGCAGGGTGACCCCAGCAATAACGCAACCAACGACGAACAGGAAGATGACGAAAGATGGGAGGCAGCACGTTTTCTTCCACCTCTTCTTCCCTGCGGAACAACGGACGGCCTCACCAGTCACCCACCCCCAAACGCCGAGGAAGCCCGAGTACTGCAGGGACAGTGCAGGACAGCCCTGACGTTCACATTTGCAGCGCACCCTGAACCCCTACACACACACGGAGGAGGAGAAGGGGGCGAGGGAGAAGTCCTACCCTGCGTATCTTCAGTCTTGAACACTCGAAAGAGCCTGGTTGCCAAAAAGCCGAACTCCCGCTCGCAGGCGTCCGAGAGGGTGGCGATCATCTCGGCCATGGACGTCTCCCCACCCACGCTGGACAGCCGGTTGTAGTCTGTGAACAGGAACCTGGGGAGGGAAGCGATGTTCCTCAGCCCACTGCAGAAGCCGCGGCCACACCCATCATTTACCCTGTGCTTCCTTACGTCTCATTCCAAGTACTGCTCTCATTCCGAGTACTGTGTTTAAAATTCAGAGAAGGGAAGATAACTAGAAATTAGGTATCTTCCCCTTCTAACAGCTTAAACATTTTTCTTTGGAAAGACAATAGCAAAGTCATGTGCAGCACAGCACTCTGACTAAAGGCAGAGAGGAAAAGGTCATGGCAGAGTCTGGGAAGGAACAAGACATCTCAACAAACCTCACGATCAGGAGGCGGTGCCCCGAGCCCCGGCCAGGCGGCTCAGTCTGTCCCGTGCACCACAAGGCTGCAGATGTGACCCCTGGTCAGGGCGTGCACGGGAGGGAGCTGACTGATGCTTCTCCCCCCCCCCCCCCCAAAGTCCATAAATACACCCTTGGGTGAGGACTGGAAGGAAATGAAGCTCACCGCACAGGCAGGGCCTTGGTGGTCTGCTCCGGCAGCTCGGGCGGGTTCACGAACATCAGTTTGAGGAGCAGCTCCAAGTAGCCGACGTGCCTGGCGAGCGTGGTGCTGAGGACCCAGGCCCAGTTCCAGCTCTCCCCTTCCCTTCGGCCACCGAAGTAAATGACAACTGAAACGTGCAGTTAAAGAAAATAACTATCCAAAACAAGCGTCAGTCAGGCAGCCTCTTCTCTCCAAACAAGTATCAAGCACGACTGGTAGGTTTACACAATTTTTCATGTCCTGTGCTATCTCCTAATTACACCTGAAAAAGTTCCTCAAATAATTAACCTCCACCAACACACAGAAGGCATATGAAAACGGAAAAGGTGACAGACTCAAACACGACATAAGGACAGAAACATCGCCTAGTTCAGATCCCAACGTAAATACTTCGGACTTCATCACTATTTACAACCGCTGAAATGACCAGTTCCTCCAATCCTCAATCTATTTCCTTTCTCACAACTGAAGACACCCTAAAGCCAGGGATCATGTGTTACTTATATAGACACAAGCACATTTTTTGCTTTGCTTTTAAATAAAATAAAAATTACGATCATGGTGAAAATGTTCAAGAGCATGGCAGTGATGACTATGGAGACTTATTTTAAGACAAGACTTAAGTCATTAGTTGACATATAGGAGGGTAAGTGCAGTAAACGACAGAGTTCTGCTTCCATATTAGCAAGTAGAACACCAGTTTTAAAGCTACTCCACCCAGGCTGTGGGCAGTTCCTTTAGGCCAACTGATAAAACAGCAAAAAGATTGATTTTCTAACCTCTTTATGAAAAACACAGGTTTTAAGAGACAGATACAGACAATCTTCTAAGTAAAACAATGAGTCTTGATAGTTTCCACATCTTTGAAAAACACAAAAGGCAGAGACTTACTAAAAAATATGTACAAGAGCGCCAAGAAGCTCAGGGACACGGCTATTCCGAGGGTCGGGTCGACCGTGAAGGCGAACAGCAACCCGAGCCCGCCACAGAGCATCAGCGTCAGGAACACTATCAGCCAGGAGAACTGGAAAAGAGGCTCGATCTGCTGTCCTGCGAAAGTCTTCATTTCGTCTGGAGAGAAACAGTGTGGAAGCATCACTCCCGGTTTCCGCAACACGGCCCCCAACTCCATCTGGAAGCTCCTCATTTGAACATGAACAGTTACTGGGCCCTGACTATATCCTGGGCGAAACCAACGATCTCCCGTGACCGACGTAAGAGTCCCATTCCCGAGGGGCACCTGCCTGTCCAACCCACTCTCCTGCTTCCTGTGGAAGATGCACAAAATCCTTCTCCAGGAGCTCCTGTCGGCGGAGGCTCTGCTGATACCAATTTGCTGAGGTTTGCCTCACGAGCAGCAAGATACTGTCTGTGCATGGGACACCGGAAATGGTGACCCTGCTGTGTCCCCACTGCACACCCCCCACCACACTGCGCCCTCCAATCCCACTGCGGAGGGGGTGTCGAGCCCAGGTGAGCCTTACACAAGTCGTTCTTGCTACGAAACCTGGTAGAAACCCTGGGCAGTGCTGAAACCCCTCCCTGAGGAACGAGTGAGGTCTTGCCGAGCAAAGACGTGGGTGTCTGGAGGCGGGAAGGGGAGCCGTCTAGGGAGCTCCTAACACAGGGACCAGCCACGGAAGAGCGTCTGGTCCGTCTGCAATAGCAAGCGGCACGGAGTGGGCACGAGTGGCATCAGGGCACGAGGGGCGCTGGACGTGGGGACTGCGGTGGCACAGGCAGAAACTGCCACCACGGGGTCAATGGGTCAGAACACAGCGGGCCTTTGTCTCAGAAAGAACCTAAACGAGCGCGGAGGACTGACGAGCCCCACGACTCTCAACCTGGTGCACCGTGTAACACACGTGCCCATACTCAGAACTCTGTTTTCCTTCACTCGCAGAACGTGAACCCACCAGACCGTGCAAACAGCGCCTTACCCTCCAGCTTCTTGAGCAGGAAGGACTTCCCGCTCCCCCACTGGGCGTAGAGCCCCACGCAAATGGGCGGCTGCATAGTGGGCTCGCTGAGGATGTCCGCCAGGGCACTGCTGTACAGGTCATAGCCCAGCATGTCCCCGTCCGTCTCCGTGGGGGACAAGTGTCCTGGGGTCAAAGGGAGAGGTCAGTTCTCATCTACTGTTTAATTAGAGAAAAAACTTATTTGAAATGGTTAGACCTGTGTAAAAACAGGTTCAGGTAGTCCTAAATACCATATGTTACGGAACTTGAGATACCTGCTGACATCAATTATAAGATACAATTCAATTTCAGAGATGCTGAAATGTGGAACAGGGTACATTTTAGAACCAATACAACATGATTAAAACAGAAAGCAGTGCGTGGGAACAAATTCAATTTGTGTAACAGCTACATAAACAAACCTACAAAAAAAGTTACTGAAGATCATGGTTAATCCACAAGAAGAGGAGACACCCCACGGTTCCAGGCAGAAAGGCTCAAGTCATCAGTTCTCCCCAAATTAATCTATTACTTTAAGACAATTCCAGTAAAAAAACCAAAGAATGTTGTGAAAAACTGAAAAGCAAAAACATGTAAGAGTAGCTAAGAAAAAAATTTAAAGACCACCAAAAAGTAGTTGTCCATAAAGCTACAGTAACTAAAGCACCACAGAACTCACACAGGATACGAACATGTGTTCATTTCAAATCAGCGGAAAAAGTACAAATTAGTAAGTGGTATTAAAAAGTTAGACATCCATTTTCTAAAAAGTAAAATTACTACTTCATGTATCTCATACCTTATATAATAAAAGTAAGTTTCTAAAACATTAAAAAACCTACATGTAAAACCATAAAAATACTAGGAGAAAAAACTTTTAAAAATTATTTGTTTATTTTAGAGAGAGGGGAAGGGAAGGAGGGGGAGAGAAACATCAATGTGTGGTTGCTTCTCGTGCGCCCCCTACTGGGACCTGGCCTGCAACCCAGGCATGTGCCCTGACTGGGAATCAAACCAGCGACCCTTTGGTTTATAGGCTGGCATTCAATCCACTGAGCCACTCCAGCGAGGGCAGAATAAAATTTTTGAATCTTTCCTTGGAAAAAGCCTTTCTCAACAGAATACTAAACCCAGAACCGCAGGAAAAGGGTGACGAACTAAAAAGAAATGTGTAGCGTCTGGACAAGGAATAAGAACCCACCACCATAAACACAGAACGAGCTGGGGCAGGGGTGCAATAGCTGTGCTAGATCAGTACCCGCAATGCACAAAGACACTTAAGTCCATTTTTAAAAACACTAAAAACTCAGGAAACACGTTGGCTAAGAATACAAAGAGGAAATAGAAAGAGGAAAACTGGCTAAGAAATAGAAAGAGGAAAACGGCAAAAAACACAGCCAGGAACACAGGACAGGACGGCAACCCCACAGTAACTGCCCTGGGAAACTGAGCGCTCCGCATGCGGCCGAAGAAGGGGGCAGCGCTCCGGCCATTTGGGAAAGTCTACTAAAGCTGCGAACATGTGCTGACCGGCCAGCTCTACTTTGGGGAGTTTATTCTAAGAAAAGAACCCTACAGTAAGAGTTATTGGACATGTGTATAAAGATGTTCAGGGCAGCGCCAGTTTTAACAGCAAAACAAACCAAATATTCATCGACGGAGACCTGTATGCACTATTAAAATACTACAAATAAAAGATTATACCATTAAAATATGGTTCAGTTCATTATTAAAATCTTTTATAATATGGTACAACCTGATTTTTTTAACGTTATAGATATGGCATAAAATATTTTTTGAAATGCAAAAATGTTGGGAGGGCCATTCAAACCATTAGGAGTTAGGCGACAGGGGATGGGGAGATTTGTCCCGTTGATACTGTACTTGTGTCTTCGTTCCTGAAATTTAATGAGTGTGTACTATTATAATTCACAGTGTTTTGCAGACGACGTGCAGTGAGAAGCCGAAGGGGAAGGTGGCGGATTCCACTGCCACCCGCGGTTTCTCTGCTGCACGTGTTGCTAACAGGCCTCTTTTCCAGTTCAGGTAACGACTGCTCTACTAGAGTCTCCGTGTGTCAGAAGACCCCGCGTGAGCGCTTACATTCTCACACGTACCCTGCTGTGCTAAGGTGGTTGATGGACAGTCAAGGCATTAACTACGTATTCCAGAGGCCCCGAGGGACTGGGGATCTGGACAGGAGAAAGTTCTGGAAGGACCAGGATGCCGAGCCATATACAGTAAGCATCAGAACAGAAAACACAACCGCTGCAGTGTGCAACAAGGCAGAGCCTGGCGCTGCTCAGGCAGAGCAGGCAGTGCATGGCTGCAGAGGCAGCAGCGACAGGAGCCGTGGGGAGGGAGTGAACAGGGAGAGCACTCGTGGGGACAGGGACGGAGCGGGCGGCCCTAGCCCAGCGCCCGCAAAGGCGGAGAGGGCAGGTGCTTGGCCACACTCAGAACCTGGGGCACGCTGTGACCGAAAGCACAGATTCCACCTGGGAGAACGGTGGCAGGAAGTTTCAGAAACAGGGGCTAGGTTTTTAGGTCTCAGAAGCTGCCTGGTCCCTCCCCGCACACTGCACTGAGAAAGCCACGGCGTGAGGTGGAAGAGCTCAGCCAGGAGGGCCACGGCCCAGACAAACAACAACTTCCTCAACCTGGGTAATTGCCAGCTACGGGACGGGTGCGAATCGCTGTTGGCCTCCACGTTCTTTCTTCACAGAGCACTCACTTCTTTAAAGCTCAGTGGGAAACAAAACCGAACACTCACTGGCTCCAAATATCTGGGTCAGAATGCTTTTCTGGTGGCTGCAGTCGATGTTGTAGGGCGTCTCGCCCGCTTTGTTGGGCCTGTAAAGCAGCCTCCCGTCTTTGGGGTTCCGTAAGAGGAGTTCCGCCAGCTTCCGACTCCTCCCACGGATGGCGATGTGCAAGGGCGTGTCCCCTTTCTGTAAGACAGTGGCAGGCAACGCAAGCCCTCATATTTTTAAGTGTCGAACATGCAGAGGAACGGCTGCCCTGTTTCTGTAAAAGAACTGAAAATCTGAACTCCTCACATCTTTCACGTGGAGTACACAAATACTGTGGGCTTTATCTCAGATTTTCCCTGCAATTTCTTTCTCCCACTCCTTACCTAGCTTTCCTCGGGAACAATGTCCCCCAGAGCCCTCCGAAATGAAGGTCACCCCCACCCCCGCAGCCCTCCCGGGCGGTCCCCTCTAGCACTGGTTGCCCGCAGACACCAGCTCAGGTTCTGACGTGCAGACCCCTCCCCTGCCTGGAAATTCCATGACCCGCACCGCTGCCCGGCCTAACGTGAGGGAGCAGCAGCAGAGCCTGGGCGTGGAATGGAGCCCCTCTCCTGCGGGCACAGCGATGCCCACTGCGTTGAGAGTCTTCCCGGCTGTGCATCTGCAGGAAGCTTTGCACTCCCACGTCCCCCACCCACAATGCTCTCCGCAGCCCCCACTGGCTCCACGGCTCCATCCGAAGCAGCTCCCCTGCTAGCACATGGAGCCCATCCCCATCCCCTCAGCTCAGCACGCAGGAACCGCCAGGAAACGGCTGCGGCCCTGGGGGTCCCACACAGAGGGCGCTGGCAAGTGACCTCTCCCCGCGCCATTGCAATCTGACCCCTTGTCCACCAGACGAACAGGTCAGCCCCCCAACCACCTTCCAGACCGGGTCCCCGCACACAGGTGCCTCACCCTGTCCACAGCCGACACCTTAGCGCCTTTGTCCAGCAGCAGCTCCACCACTTCAATGCTCCTCATCTTGGTGGCCTTTATCAGTGGCGTCTCGCCATCCTGTGAACACATGTACGGAAGTTCGCCAGACTGAGAGCGCTCCTCCCGACTGTTCCAAGTCACACAAACACATGTGCAGGACTCAGTGATCTGACTCTGGTCCCCGTCTACGTTGACGATATTCCCAAGAAAACAGACTTGTGCAAACTAACAAGAAAACTGCTTTTCCTTTCACAACCATTCTTTTATATCAAAATAATCTGATGTCACTCAGCCAAGCACGGGATGTGACCCGCTGCCTTGTTGCCACTTCTGGCCACAGGGCACTGGCCCTTGCTGCCCCCCACCCCTTGCCCCCGGTCCCACGCAGACGTCTGGGCAATGCCTCCAGAGATGACATCTTTTCTCCCCATGGCCTCCCAGCCGACCACAGCCCAGCTGCCCGGGTCCAGGCAGGCCGGTGTCTAGATTTTCGCAACATCTACACCTGCATTGCTTCTATTTTCCGTGCCCTTTTACAAAGGCCTGTGTGCAGCAGGGAGAACAATCTGATACGGCAGTACGCTTTTGTGATTCCTTTAAAAACCAAGAGAAATGAGAAGAGACCACAGTTCAGCACTGAGCTGGGAGGGAAACCTGGTCGGAAACCTGGGTGGTTACAGTGGCCGAGACACGGTCCACAGAGAAAGCAAATGATGACCAGGGGCCGCCTGCACACCAGCAGACGGCCCAGGGACCTTTCTGCCTGGGCACCGAGTTCCCACCGCTGGTGTAGAAAGACGCTCGTCCCCATCTGTAGCAGATCAAACAGCCTTTTCTTACGGGTGACTCCTCAACTTTGTTTTCTGCATGAAGAGTTCCTGCCATTTCGCTCTAAAATTCCAAGTATCTCTTCCCCACAGAAAACTTCACGCACAAGGCCAGGCACAACCACTGCGTCTGATGTGGGTTTCTGTTTTCATGGGCTCTGAGAAACCGAGACTGGACAGGGCCAGTCTGGACACCCACAGCCACCCTCAGTGGCCTTCGGACAGCAATCGGCTCTGTGTCCCGCACGACGGGCGTGTAAAGGAACGCTGGGGAGATGACCTGTCCACAGCTGACGAGAGCTGGGGCTGTGCGCTCTGGACACAGTTACCTAAGGCACTGAACTGCACACCGTATTTTCCTGTGAATGCGCACTCCTGAAAGGATACAGAGTCGCTCTTCCATTCAACGCAGCACGTCACCAGCGAGATCAGTGTGATGCGGACACTGGGCAAGGACGGGCACAAAGACCCCCGCAGGGCCGTCTGCCGGCATCTGGCCAGCCCAGGGGGCCGAGAGCCTGTACCTTGGTGCAGATCTCCGTGTCCGGGTTGCACTGCAAGATGTCCCTCACCATCGTCGCGTTCCCTTTCTCCACAGCCCAGTACAAAGCTGTTTTGTTGTCCTGCATCATAAAGGGAAAAATCAGCATTGGCTCCCGGGAGACAGAGCACGTAAACACTGCTGCACGTGAACGTGAACAACTAGTGGCGTCAATGCAGAGGTCCCACAGCCATGCAGTGACACGGGGCCATTCGGGCACTCACTGTACCCACTAGTGCCCACAAGTCGGTCTCTGCAGAGCAGTCAGTGGAGTGACATCAAGATCGGCCGGCACGGGCAAGCCACCAGACCCAGACACCACCGATGGCGCAGTGGTCACACGTACCTGCCCCCGAATGTCTATGTCAGCGTACTTTTGGAGAAGCGCTCGCACGATTTCCACGTGACCACCTCTGACGGCTCCAATCAGCACGGTGTCTCCACTCTGCCGAGACGAGAGAACGGGTGAGTTCACAATGAGGACAAACACCAGGGGGAAGTCAAGGCTAGTCATGTGTTAATGAAACAGGTTTTCCCTGAAAATTTCTTGGGAAAAAGGTATCTCTAAACAAAGAGAAAAATTTTAGCTGATGCCCTTGGAGAGAGAGACAGAAGACTGTGACCCTCCAAATGAAGACTCCAAAACGCCAGGACAAAGGGTCAGAAAGGCCAGTCGTCAGAACGATGAGCCGTCCTCTGTGAAGGTGACCTTCCGTGACACATGTAATTTAGAGAGATGACACCACGGTTGTCAACAAACCGCAAGAAGGCCCGGAAATGACGCAACACAAGCCCCCGGGATGGCACTGCACGTAGAAGTCGAGGTTTCTGGAGGAGGAGCTGCGAGGAGGCGCCCTGTCTGGGGGGGGGAGGTGGCCTGCGGAGTGGCCACCCCATTCCGGCGCCTGGCATTGGAGGGCAACCGTGCAGAAGCCGGACTCAGCCCCACAACAGGCCCCAGGGTGCCCATTACCGTATAAGAACATCTCTTTGCCCTGAAATTATGTTCATCAAGCAATAATCATTATTAATTATATCTTCCCACTGCCTCATGGGAATGGCTACTTCAGCGATGGGCGTTTTCCTAACTGCTACATCACACGTCAGCTGGAGGGACACAGGCTGGCCGAGTCTGTGAGCTGTGCCCAGCTCAGTCCCAGTGGACCCATGGGCTACAAAACAGGGTCTGGGTCCTTGGGGGTTCCGCGTACGGTGCCATGGTGTCGCATCTGAACCACCGCATTGGAAGCAGAAACAAGCCAAGGCACATGCTAGTGGAGGATGTCAGCCCTGATGTGGCTCCAGACCAGCAAAGAGCATGAGGTTACAGACGCTTCACTGCTACATGCCACGCAATCTAGGCACAGGGACACCGGAAAGACAAGGTCCTGTCTCTGTGAGAATGGACAGTCCAGAGGAGACAGGTGACACAGGGAAACAAACGTAAAACCAGCGGTTACCGTGGAAATAAATGAAACTACAGTGATGAGACGCGGCTGCGGGGGGGGGGGCGGGTGGCAGGGCAGCAGTAGATGCTTCTGCGGAGGCACTGGCTGGCGGGGACGGGGGCCGGAGCGGGAGCAGGCCCCAGCAGGGTCAGAGAGGGCAGCGTCCCGGCAGAGCACAGCTGGGGTGCAGGCCCTGGGGCAGTCACAAGATCTGCGTGTTCCAGAACATGGACACGCCCACGGGGCCGCATGCTGCTGAACAGGAGTGAGGAGGAGAGGACTGGAAACACATGGGGACAAAGAGCGGCCAACAGGTCACGCGGGACTCCCACACTGAAGGTGCAATGGCTCCCCACGTGCAGGAGGAAGCCCGGGTGGTCTCACTACAGGAGCACACGTCAAACTCATAGCTTTAAGGACTACTAGTACATCAGAGCCAACAAAAGAACCCAGTCAAGACGCTTTTGGCCCCACAGTGGGAGACGGGGACTTGCACTTGGGAGGTGGCCCTGGACATGAAGGGATGTGCACAGAGGAAGGCTGTTCTGGGGGCAGGCCCAGTGGAACCTGCTGGAGAGTCAGACGTTGCGAGGAATCGAGGCTATCGCGCAGGACATGCGGCTTCAACCACGGGTTGGAGGTGCTGCCATTTACCAATGGAAAAGACTGAGGGAAAGCGGGCTGGGAAGGAACAAACAAAACGTCTACCTGGCTGAAAGTTTAAGAAGCCCATTGAAGCCCTGGCTGGTGCGGCTCAGCGGAGTGAGTGTGGGCCTGAGCCACTCAACCAAAGGGTCACCAGTTCGGTTCCCAGTCTAGGCACAGGCCTGGGACTGGGGGAAGGGGCGCACAAGAGGCTACCACACATCGGTGTTTCTCTCCCTCTCTTCCTCCCTCCTTTCCCCTCACCCTAAATATAAATAAGTAAAATCTTTTTGAAAAAGCCCATTCAAGCAGAGAGTTCACGTGGAGTTGTATACGCAAGTGTAGACTTCTGAGAAGGGACAGAATCGGAAAATTCTAAGCGGAAAGGGAGGCACTTGAAGCCCAGAGGCCATGAGGAACATCCACGGCGATACACGTCAAGGACAGTCACAGACTAACAGCACATGACATTCTCAATACCAACATCACTGACAAAAGAACACCTGTTGCAACGACGGAACAATCTTTGACTCACTGGGGCTAAAGGTGGAGATAAGACTTGTCTTAAGACAAAGTGCGTCACCATCACGCAGGGTCGTGCAGGGGGAGACGTTATTGAGGTTGTCCTCCAGCAACGTCACCCCTGGAAGACACGCGGGTGGCCTACCCTGTCAGGCATGTTCACGTAGGTCCCGGCGTCCAGCAGGTCCTGCACGATCTCCGTGTGCCCCTCCTTCGACGCGATCATCAAGGCTGTGTTTCCGTCCTTGTCCGTCAGATTCACGTTGGGGCCCCTCTTCAAAATCTCCTTTACCGACTGTGTGTAGCCCCCTTTCACAGCCACAATAAGTGCAGTCATTGAGTTCTACATGCAGAGAGAAGACCGAGAAGTCAGCATGTCCTAGAAAACATATGGTTAGTGCCATAATAATAAAACTGATGTTCGCAAGGAGGTGGCTTATTATTTCTGGCAATGAATGTCAATATGTAAGTACCTGGAAGCATACCAAAAAGAGGCGCATTTGCACTTCTGAAGCGAGACCACCCACCGGGTCACCAGCACTGCCCGCCCTTCAGCTCTCTGCATGCAGCCCTGAAAGGGGCTCACTGCAGCGACGCCCTCTCCACAACGTGATGAGGTCTCACAGGGTTGACAAGGTGACTCAAAATCGAATTCATTCTACACTAAATAATCCCAAGTACAGTCTTTCAGACCCAACAAAGAATGCTCTTCAACAAAACCTGCGGGGAAAAGCTGAAAACAATGACCCAATGCCTACAGGATATTTTCATAAAAGTACAATGTAGTCTGCTGTCTTTGACTGTGACCTGGAAACCCCATTTTCGAAGACTCTTACTTCAGCTGCTCTTTTAAAAACTGCACTTCTGATTTATAACCATGAATCACCTAACAGAAGAGTCTGCCTCATTACTACAAGTATTAAAGTCACTTCTGCAGGTTTTGCTCTGCTGTGAGACAGCGCCCTCACTGGGAGAGCCGGTCCAGTGCGCAGCTCCACCCCTAGGGTGCAGCCCCGCCCTCTCGCTCAGGGAGCTAGCCCACCCAGCCTGCTCTGTGGCTCAGCAGTCGCTGTCCACACGGCCCCGCCACTCATCCACTCGCCACACTGTCCGGAGATGAAGCGAGTCACTGGGGTGACTTCTGTGCTGTCTGTGAACCACGTGGTCTCCACCAGCACTAAAACGTCACATACTCCCTGAGGTCTGCATTTGGAGCTCCTGCCCGGAACAGGGACAGGAGACAGTGGAAGACACCTTGCTGGAAAGCAAGCATGGTTTGGAGCTCGCCGTCCCAACCCTGCAGCGGGAGGAGCGGTGCGTCTCCTCTGGGGCCCTGCACGGTCCTCCCGCACAGCACTTCCCACACGGACGGCGGTCTGGGCAACTGTTCCTTATGCACAGGTGCCACCCCCTTCGCCCACGTTCCGTCACCGCAAAGGGAAGCAGCGTGTGCGGGCTCCTCCAGTGCCCCCGCCCGTCCCTCACCCGGCTGGCCCCACAGCAGGACTCAGGAAGCAGTTAACAACTGTGAGTTGGTTGTATCTGAACCAACTGTAAAGCTTTCTAGGTTCTGACCACAGATTTCTGATATTTTAAATCTCTCTATTGAAAAACAAAAATAACTCACAGTTAAGAATATACAAAAATTACAGTATTATTTTTTAAATTTAAGTAAATTTTAGATTTTAATTTTACTTAATAATTTAAATAAACTTTAAACAGAGCTCTGTTCCATAATTCATGTATTTCAAACTATTTGATTTGAGACTAATAACTTACACTAAGATCACTGAACAATACTCTTTATTTTTAGCCTCCCAAAATTTATGTGCATTAGGAATAGATCCTTAAGAGCAAAAATTTACAGTACGTAGTATCTATAACATATTAACCAGGATAACAGCAAAAAAAAAAATGCTTATCTAAGTATCATTTTCTAAGTATTGTTTACAAACCGTGGGAAATTTCTCAGGTATATATTAAGAAAAAATATTCTCTCCCTTACAACTAAATACATGTCTCCATCATCAGGGGTTACAAACAGAAAAGATACTCACAGCTCCTTCTTGATCAACATCAGCTCCTGAAGCCAGTAAGTGTCTGACACACTCCAGGTGGCCCTTTCGTGCAGCCCAAACCAGAGGGGTGGTCCCGTACTATTAAAGTGAACAATACATTTAAAGTTATGGCCAGTGTGTGAACAGAGACTTCCGACGAGAACGCTGACCCGGTCCCACTTCGAGTGCGCTTGCACCACCGCCTGCGTGGCACACCTCTAACCGCAGCTCAACCATTCCCCGTTTTATATTTCCAGAACAGATGATTAACCACTGCACGAGACACCTTTCAGCCGACTTCACCTGTTAGAATCAGTGACTGACAATTTTTCCATCATAAAGTCATACACTCTAATTTTCAACATACTTTTGTTGCTTCCCATATCTTGTGAAATATAATCAAAAGTTCAACAGTCTGACTACAGGCAAAACAGCTGGAACCACTCTACTGTAGACTCACGGACTCTTCATCACAAGAATAAGCCGGAGGGGCAGTGTCCCACTTTCCCGCCAAGGCAAATGAGGCCCTGAGAAGTTAGGTACAGGCTCAAGGTCACAGAGCCATTGAGAGGGGGACCGGGACCCATGAACTGCCAACCCTGGCTTTGGTCTGCACTCTCACCCAGGCCCCAAATCGGCTCTGTACTTGACAAAAGAACTGCAGCCTAGAAACTGCACTGAAAAGTACCTTCTGCTGGAATATGACTCAAAAGGCATCAAAGAATATAAATCACACGTAAAATAGCAATGTTTTTACACCTCTGGGGAGTCTGGCAGGCAGGAGACACACAAATCCCCACCGTGACCTTCACCTGCCCGGGAGACCACGGATGGAAAGGGACCTTAGTGAAGCCTGCTCCTGCCACAGCCCCGTCCGGAGAGCTTTCTGTGCTGACGCAAGGACTTGGTGACTCTGCAGTAGCCACTAGCCACCTGAGGCTATCAAGCACTTGAAATGTAGCAAGTCTGACTGGGAAACTGAGTTCTTTTACCTTATTTTAACTGATTTAAGTCTAAATAGCTACATGCGGCTGGTGGCTACTGTCCCGGGCAGCCCACTCAGGTGCCCAAACCTCGGCCCAAGGCCCACATGTGGCCCAATGGCTATGAACATGGTCCCACACAAAACCATGAACTGACTTAAAACCTTTCTGTTCGCCCACCAGTTTTCATTAGTATTTGTGTATTTGATGTGTGGCCCCAAGACAACTCTTCTTCTTCCAGCCTGGCCCAGAGGCACCAAAAGGTTGGACAGCCCTGGACAGCAAACATCTAGGGAACCAAACTGTTGAAAGCTGTAGCCTGGGGCTCTTGAGGGACAGGGCCTCAGGACAGCCAGAACCCGAGGCTGCCAGTACAGTCCTTGGGGGCAGGAGCCTAATGAAGGAAGGGTGGGACATAGGAGAGGAGGGCAGTGGTCAAGGCCATGGCCTTGGGGTAGGCTTAGACAGAATAAGGAATCCTCCAGAAACTTGCTAGTTTCTCTCTTGCATCTATCTTTTCTCAGAATTAAATTCTTTTCTAGCCTCTTCCTTCATGAATAACATCTTCTCTGGCTGAAACACCTTCCCTAAGTCTACAAATCAAAAACCTCGGACACCTTCAAAGAGAGTGTGGTCGCACGCCCATCCTTGGAACACCTGCTGCCCGTCACTTTCCCTGTTCACAGAGGAGCGCCGGGCGGCATTGGGGCCCCAGCCCCTGGCCCTCCTCACCGGGCCCCCTCCCTCTCAACACCGAAGGCTTCCCATCTCACCCAGACGCCTGGCAGACATTCCTGGGGCAGCACTCAGAACCACCTCAACAAGTCTCTCTGTTTTCCCCCGTCTCCTGGGCTCCGACCCCCAATAAATTTAATCCCTCCCTGTGCAATGAGGATCCTATTTTCCTGGTTTCACCCAGAAACATAGCCAATGATCTCCTCCCACATCACCCGTCTTTTCTCCTTTATTCCCTCTTCCTACAAACTCTCTTATCCTCAGAAACTTTCCCAACAAGCCATCCTCGTAAGATTCTGTTCACAAGGCCGTTTGGGGTGCAGAGAGCAGGGAAGGGGCAGAAACGGACTCAAGGCCCATGTTCACACGTCAAACCAGGGGTTGGTGTCTTCAGGACGTTAAGCATGAGAGAGAGAGAACTTGAATTTTAGAAGTTACGTTATTTGTTAATCTCATGTTATCTGGCAACAACATGAAAAGCAGACAGGACTAAAGTTAGAATAAAAGTTGTACAGAAGAACTCAGCTGACGAAGACAGCGAATGCCCCCGTCTAATTTCCCTGAGAACGATGACAGTGATGCACAAGCAGTGGAAGGGGACCATCTATGAGGCATGTGTCTATATAAAATGTACCGACACGCACAACTGGAAGGCACACGCTGGCAGCCTCACGAGAGGGCACGCAAACACGTGTCCCAAGACGTACCAGGGGTGGCTCCGAGGACCCACCTTGTCAGAGCAGTTGACCTTCGCGCCGTTCTGCAGCAGAAGATGCACGATGTCCGCGTGGCCCCTCCCTGCCGCCCAGATGACCGGGTAGACGCTGTACTGCTAGGAGACAGGCAGCAGGCAGGCGGCCGGACGGAGAGGGAAGGAAGACAGACAGGGATCAAGGGAAGGAAAAAATCCTTTGGGGGGGTATTTATAGCATGCACTCACTAAGAAAAGTAAATAACAAACGGAATAATACAAAGTAATACTTTAAAAATCAAGTTACAGACCACTCTCCACTTTAAAAACACACAATACCCATCATACATAATAGACAGCTAAGATGTACTCAACCTTAAAATAATAATTATGAGCACATTAATTTTTTTACAGAGTCAACACATTGGATGTGATTATCTAGCCAATGGGTAAGACTAACAATAGAAATATAAAAATTTTCTAATATAACCCTTCCATTAATCTGAATAAAAATACAATTCTTTTTCCAGCTTTATTAAAGTGTGTCTGGTATAACTGCGAGATATTTCAAGTCTACAGCATGATCTGATAGACACACATTGTGAAAGGATTCCATCGGTAACAGTCTCTGATCTGCAACCTGAGATCGAAAGTCACACATAGTAGTAATGTATGTACCACCATCTGTAAGAATGCACAGAAAAATGTCTATTTTAAAAAGTTTAGATTAAGAATCTGTGCCCACAGAAAACAGGTAAGATGTCTTCAGAATTTAAACTCCTGAAACGTTATATGGTTATAATTAACATTTAAGCTCTAAGAGTTGTCTTTTGTTCATAAAAATTGAGAAATAGGCTGAGCTTGAGAAAAAAGTCTCTCTGTACTTTCAAATCACATTCTTTATCTTTATCTTTAAAAAGATCCAAGTCACCCTGGCTGGTGTGGCTCCGTGGATTGAGTGGCTGCCAGCCTGCAACCGAAAAGGTTGCCAGTTTGATTCCCAGTCAGAACACATGCCTGGGTTGCAGGCCAGGTCCCCAGTAGGGGGCGTGCAAGAGGCAACCGATTAATGGGTCTCTCACACATCAATGTTTCTGTCCTTTTCTTTTTCCCTCCCTTCTCTCCTAAGAATAAATAAATAAAATCTTAAAAACAAAGACAACGATCACTTCTATTCACGTCACTGTCTATGTCACTTCTATTCACTGTCAAGCCCAGAGAATAACCAGCCTGAAGCCCCCGCTAGGACAGCACACCACTCCCAGCACAGGCCGTGGTCTCGTCAATGCTCACCAGACCGGTGACACTTGGGTTGGCGCCGTGGGAAAGCAGCAGCTCCACCACCTCGGTGCGGCCTTTGTAACACGCCCACATCAGAGCTGTCCATCCTCCCTGCAACGGGGGGGAGGGAGTAAACTTTGACAAGTCCAAGCACAAAAACACCATTAATGAAGTTCCTTTGTGACTATTATTTGTAAAGCCATTGCTTTATGAGGTTTTAAGTTCATGTAGTTTTAAGTTCCCATGATCCCCAGAGAGATACAGGGCCCAGCACAAATAACACCCTTTTTATTATAAAGTCTTTTATTACAAAACCCTAAGCATATAATTCTGTAACATAACGATATCACACTCAAGCACACCGTATGACATTTTAGGTGAAATGTTCAAGTTAAAACTATGCATCGTTACACCGATATTATTACCCAACCAGCCACACGCAGGCCCGCCTTCCTTCTGCCGGGACCTGTGCACAAAAGCACCTAAAAGCAGTCCAGTCTCCCAGGTCCACAAATAAACACGCCCATCGCAGCACTGCACCGAGAGAACAGAAGTGCGGACACTTATGTCGGACTCTCCGAGATCTGTCTTAGCCATTTGAAACCCTTCCTTCGAAACGTGCTCTGTCCTGAGGGCAGGTCCCAGCAAGCACACCCTGCCCCCGTGTCCCAGCACGCCCGGTGGGCAAGGGTCATGCACGGGTCACGCAGGGCCTCTGGCTGAGACGGAGGGCCCTCAGGCAGTGACCTGCAGATCAGGGTTTCAGGGGTGGACGCTGTCATCAGTATGAATTAACAGCAGGATAACTTTCTGTTTTCTACGCTACAGAAGCAATTTTCTTCTTTTGAGTAACCTTCTCTTTAGCTATAATACAATTCAATAAAAGAAACCAATGTAATCAAATTATAATAAGAAACAAATGTTTTGTTTTCTTAAAAATCAGTACTTGGGCCAACTCACATTCGATCCTGAGAATATAAATAACTTCTTCTGATTTTGTTTCATCACTAACAAAAGAGAGTTAAGAAATACTTGTCCTGACCTGAAAAAGGCAGGACCGTAGAAGGGGAAACCAGGCCCGGGGTGGTGAGGGGTTGGGGGTGAGCGAAGGGGCCGATCCCAGCAGTGCGGGCGCAGGCCCATGGGGGTGAGCGCACGACCCCGAGCCCTCGTCAGAAACCAAAGAACAGACTCGCCACAGACAGCGAATTCTTCTGTAGGAAATATTTTTAAAAGTCAACCAGGATCTGCAAAGATACAGCCTGAGACAAACGAACCTAAGTATGTTACGAATGAACCACGTATTTACTCAGAAGCTGAGCCTAGGTAACTTTGGAAAATAGTATTTTGACTGAATACTACCATGCTAAAAACCAAAATAACTGTACACAAACACCGTACTTAGTAGATACATTTGTTTCTCTCTGGATATGGGTTAGAAATTCTGAAACTCCTTTATCTGTACTCCAGGGGTGAACAAATAAGCAAATATATCGTGTACTTAACAAGGGCCAGATTTCTCGCCATCAGAGAAGAGCCACAGAGTAAGGAACGGGAGAGGCTACAACACTGCGCTGGTGGCACCACTCTGGTCTCTTCGAGAAATACACACACACTTGCACAGACAGACACAGAAACAAACGTACGCACGTGCAGGAGTTAGTACCCACAGGTACCTCCTATGTCTCCCCACTGAGGGACTACTACCAGTGAATCCCAGTAGCAATGAGCATACCTAACACCTAAATACTGATTTCTAAGTAACGCTTTCCAGTAATACGGGCCAAGGTTCCGTGGAAAACATCCCAGGGCTGACCATCAGGAAGACAAGCAAGGGAAAATACAAGATAAACCTGGGCCTGAAACACCTCATGGTGCCAGAAAGTAAGGAAATACTTAAAAAATATATAAAATAAATCAAAGGCAGGGCATCTTACGAGGGTGCAAAAGCTCCCATGGCCGAAGCTGGACCAGCCTGAGCGACAAACTAGGCAGAGAACAGAATAACTCACAGAATAAGAGACATTCACAAGCCCACGTGTATTTACGTATGCACGGACGCAGGGAGCTCTCCTTCACAGAAGAGCTGTAGCTACCAAGAGCAGAGGGGACAAGGGGAGGAGAGGAGCCGCCCTGACCCCACCCCGGGAGTCACGGCTGCAGGCAGGGCAGACCGGCGGGCGCAACAACACGTCAGTGAGCGCGTGGTCAAAACCAGGCTATTTTGCACGGTATCAAAGTTTCCCCCGCAACACTGAGTACCCACGAAGGGAGAGAGAGCACTCTGACCGTCAGGAAACCTGCAGACACCGCTTCAACCAGGAGATCAGGGTCCGCATGGCCACCACGTGCCTAGACGCGGGCTCCGCGGAGGGCTGCTCGGCTCTGTAGGACCCTTCCCAGTAAAGCACAACCCGCCCCAACCGTGGGAACTGCCAGACGACCAAGGTGAGGGCCTCCTACAGAGGCCAGACAGTCGTCCACAGCAGTGCCGGTGTCCGTCAGGCCACAGAGCCGGACCTTTCAGTCCGGTCAGACCCCACACACGCCGATACTTCCACTGGGGAATTTCCTGGCAGAACTGTTTCCGTACCTTGCCCCACCCACCCTCTGCAGGACTCGAGATACACATCTCCCTGGAGACAACCATGTCCAGGTTTGCAAAGCCAGAAGATGGGGACCACTGCCTTCAGCAGGAGCTGCAGCCTGCCAACCACTCGGGCCCTCTCGAGACACTCCCCGCTAGACGCCCTGACACCAGGCCCTGGAATGACTCCCGAACCCCAGCAACCCCCGAGGTAACCCTCCTCTCCCCACCCAGGTCCCAGGGGCCACGCTGTTCTTCACAGCTTGTCCACTGCGGCCGCCCACCAGCCCTCCTCAACAGTAACTACTCAGTGGGACACGGTCCTCAGTTTCCTGGACTGGTGGTGTTTTACAGCCAAACACACAGACTCTTTAAATGTTAAAATGTGTCGTGATAATTATTTGGGGGAAACAAAAATAGGGATAACTAAAAATGTTTAAGAAATCATTTTTCTACAGAGTTTGTGAAGTTTTACACCTTTGTAATGTACACTTTACATGCCCTAACTCTCTTGCACACACGAGTTCAAAACTCAGCCTGACGGCTGCACAGGTGCAAGACTCTGAGCACAGGGCACCCCTTCCAGGCTGCGCCCCGAGCCACATGCGCTGGGAACAACACTAACCGCTGGCCCACAGGGCTGTGCTGAGAACAAGGGACAACAGTCCGCGCGAGACGGTGGAACGCTGCAGCTTCTTAAACACACAGCCCCTCCGCGCTTCAGGAAACAGCATCAGCAAAGTAACCCACATTTTATAATCAAAGCAGATCAATTCCTTCCTTTCCCCACTGTGAAAATTAACTTTTGAAATGACTAAACATTTTGCAGAATAAATAAGCCAGAAATAATCCCCTTCTTTATGATGCCAATACACAATAGCTAAGATAATCAAGAATCATATCATTAAGCTTATAATGGGTATACATGGTATGTCTGAACACATTTACATTTTTTAAAAAGATTTTATTTATTTACTTTTAGAGAGTGGGGAAAGGAGAGAAAGAGAAGGAGAGAAACATCTATGTGTGGTTGCCTCTTGCTCACCTCATACTCAGGGCCTGGCCCGCAACCCAGGCATGTGCCCTGACTGGGAATCGAATTGGCGACCCTTTGGTTTGCAGCCTCCACTCAATCCACTGAGCTACACCAGCCAGGGCTGAACACAATTTTAAAAATAAATATATAGCCTGGCTGGTGTGGCTCAGTGGACTGAGCACCAGCACGTGAACCAAAGGGTCATCAGTTCGATTCCCAGTCAGGGCACATACGTGGGCTACAGGCCAGGTCCCCACTAGGGGGTGTGTGACAGGCAACCGCACAAGGATATTTCTCTCCCTCTCCTTTCTCTAAAAATAAATATTTTAAAAAATAAAAATAACCTTACAACTATTATACTAAAAATTGTAATAAAACTATTCAAAAAACTGCTATGTCCTTCTTAAAGTTCCTCTTAAATGAAACAATTCTCTCATAAGTTCTAAAATACTGACATAATAAAGGGTAATGAGTATTTTTAACAATATTTCCAAATTTTAAACTCTAAAAGTGATGACTAAAAACATTCTTTTTTTAAAAATATATTTTGATTATGCCACTACAGTGGTCCCATTCCCCCCCCTTCATTCCCCTCCACCCTGCACACCCCTCCCCCACCACTCCCTTTAGTTCATGTCCATGCGTCACAAGTTCTTTAGATTCTGTATTTCCCCTACTATTCTTGCCCTCCCCCGTCTATTTTCTCCCTACCATCTATGCTACTTATTCTCTGTACCTTCTCCCCCCTTCTCCTTCTCCCACTTCCCTGTTGCTAACCCTCCATGTGATCTTCATTTCTATGGTTCCACTCCTGATCTAGCTGTCTTCCTAGTTTGCTTTTGTTTTACATGTGGTTGTTAATAACTGAGTTTGCTGTCCTTTCACTGTTCATATTTTTTATCTTCTTTTTCTTAGATAAGTCCCTTTAACATTTCATATAATAAGAGCTTGGTGATGATGAACTCTTTGAACTTGACCTCATCTGAGAAGCACTTTATCTGCCCTTCCATTCTGAATGAAAGCTTTGCTGGACAGAGCAATCTTGGATGTAGGTCCTTGCCTTTCACGACTTGGAATACTTCTTTCCAGCCCCTTCTTGCCTGGAAGGTCTCTTTTGAGAAATCAGCTGACAGTCTGATGGGAACTCCTTTGTAGGTGACTGTCCCCTTATCTCTTGCTGCTTTTAGGATTCTCTCCTTCATTTTAACCTTGGCTAATGTAGTTATGATGTGCCTTGGTGTGTTCCTTCTTGGGTCCAACTTCTTTGGGACACTCTGAGCTTCCTGAATTTCCTGGAAGTCTACTGCCTTTGCCAGATTGGGGAAGTTATTCTTTATTATTTGTTCAAATAAGTTTTCCACTTGTTGCTCTTCCTCTTCCCCTTCTGGTACTCCTATAATTTAGATGTTGGAATGTTTAAAGATGTCCTGAAGGTTCCTAAGCCTCTCATTTTTTTTTGAATTCTTGTTTCTTCATTCTTTTCTGTTTGGTCATTTTTTTCTTCCTTCTGGTCCACTCCCTTGATTTGAGTCCCAGTTTCTTTTCCGTCACTTTTTGTTCCCTGTGCATTCTGCTTCATTTCACTTAGTATAGCCTTCATTTCTTCATCTAATTTGTGACTAAAATCAACCAGTTCTGTGAGCATCCTGACCACCAGTGTTTTGAACTGTGCATCTGATAGTTTGGCTATCTCTTTGTCATTTAGAAGTATTGGCTCTGCGGCTTTGAGCTGTTCTTCTTCAGCCATAATGTTTTGGTCTGTTCGTGCCTGTTATGTATGAGGGGCGGAGGCTTAGATGTCCACCAGGGTGGGGCAACCCAGTCGCTGGGTTGTGATGTTGTATGTGGGGGCAAGGTCAGAGAGGGGCAATGGCATTTGTTCCACTCTCTCTCAGATTTTGGTCCCCTCTCTGCTTCCCAAAAGCAAACCGGGCCCCCCTGGTGCCAGCTCCTGGGTGTGTGGGCCTGTGCACCCTCCAGGACCCTGTGGGTCTCTCCAACAAACTCTCAGTGAGCCTGGGAGCCTCTCCCAGCACCTTCATCCCGAATTGTTTTTTTCCAACTGGTGCTTTTAGGCTTTAATTCCCGTTGCTGGGGTCCTAGCCTGAGCGGTCTGTCTCACTGCTTGCTCTTCTGCCTGGTTTATCTGCATGTGAATGTGTGACTGCGGTCAGCCAGCCGACCTGCGCCCTCACTGGGTCTGCCCGTTGCCACCCCACGCCTGGGATCTACCAACCACCACCTGTGCGCCTGGGTCAGTCTGGCCACCTTTTCCTGCTCGACCCCACTCTGCCAGCCACTGACTCTGCCCCTCTTGCCAGTCTGGCTGAATGGTTCATTGCTGTTGGACTTCTGTACAGTTCAATTTTCTGTGTTTTGGTTGCGATTTTGTTACTAAAACTTTGTTGTCTTTAAACCTGGTTGTGCGAGGAGGCACTATGTTTCCACCTATGCCTCCATCTTGGCCGAAGTCGACTAAGAATATTCTAAAAGAGGCATATTATACCATCTGGGTTTTGAAACCTTCTTGAGGGTCATTTCCATGCCCAGCCCCACCCCTAGAAGCACCGTGACATCACTGCACACGTAGAGCTCCCACTCATCCAGCCCCGTCGCTGGCGCCAGCCAGCCCTGACACATGACCCGGACGCACGTACCATGTCGCGGTGCTCCAAGTCGGCCCCACACCTGAGCAGCTCCTCCACAATGTGCACGTGCCCTTCCTTGGAGGCCGATATAAGTGCTGTCCAGTTGTCCTTGAACACACAAACACTGATGTTACTGGTTCAAAACTGAGATAATATTTCAAATTGAGGACAAAGGAAGCCGAATGTACATACCAGACAACCACACCAGACTGACATGCCTGACCCACCCGACTCCCAAATAACAGAGAGCCAAGCCCTGGGGAGGGTGCCTCTGTCTGCGGGCATTCACAACTGCTTGTTCAGTCTTTTCCCCAGACCTCTAATTACATAGCATGTTTTGTCAAAAGGAGGAAAGATGTCAAAACCTGAAAGCCAGTCCTGTGGCCAGCGACCACCCCTCTGCACTGAAATGCAAAGGCAGTCGAGACTCACTGGCCGGCCACCAGACAGAGCCATCTGTGACGAGCAAGAGTGGTGTGCTCGAGAAATAGCTATTCTCCTCCTGTTTTTAAATACAGGCCAGAAGTATGCTATCCTAACTTTGATTCCTGAGTGCCACTGAATTCGAACGACCATTCAGTAAAAACATCAATTTAAAATAATTAATTTTAAATGAAACAGAAAGCAGATGCAGCTGTGGACCCTAAAAATCACTCCTGGGCAACAGAGGCGGTGGAGGAGGGCAGCCGGGTGGAGCTGTGCTGTCGGGGGCACGGTGTCCCAGCTGTCACCATGTGATGGGTGTGATGACACCCAGGACAGTGAGGGGACACCACAGGGAGTCGTGAGACGACCTGGCCCCCAGGCAGGTGTCTTTGAGGCAGGCATTTAGTTCATGTGGGCCTGCTTCTTATTTGGCTGGAGCCATCAGTGTCTAAAAACAGGGAGCGCTGAGAACCTTCATTAACAGTAGAAATTCCACTCCCTTTTGAAAACATTAACTTGGCCCACTGTAGCCAAAGACAAAAGACGACTGATAGTATAATTTGTCACCTGTTATTTTTTAATCACTTTGTAAGACAAACAGCAAAGAAAAAGAACAAGAAGTTATTTCGCTGCCTACCAAGTCTTCCAGGTTGCAGTTAGCCCCGTTCTTAAGCAGCTCCTTCACCATCTCCAGGCTGCCCTGCTCCGCGGCTATCATCAGCGGGGTCTGGCCGCACTGCGGGAGGCGAACGGCACAAAGAGCTCGTCAGGGCGCCGCCCTCCGACCGAAACGCTGAAAGCACAAGCTTACATTTTCCTAACTCGACGTTCAGTGCTGGTTACAGAATCTCTTTAATTTAGAAATACCCATGAAATCTTAAGTCTCCAGTTTCCTAATAATGCAACCAAGAAAAAAGTAAAAAAAATTTTTTACTACAGCATGAGTAATCTTCTGATGGCACTGAACTCTCACTTGGAATCAGTAAATGAGAAGTACTACCAGGCTCTGAAAGGAATGACCACATGTATATAAAAATCTTAGCATATTTATGGTAACTAAATTCCAACAATCCAGTTAGGTTATAACACAGAACGTGGATTTAATAATATATATTTGACAAATCATCAGGACTAAAGGCACAAAAGTTCACACATCTATACTTACATATATATATATACATATATGTAAAAACTGAAATCACTTCTTATCTTATTCCACTGGCAAAAAAATTATACTATACTGAAAACACAGTTTTAATACACAAAATTATTTTTATTAAGTTTTACAAAACAAATAAAAACTTTGCCATTAAAAATTCATACAAAAGGTCTATTAGTCCATAAAATGTTGCCGCGTAGCTGTTCAGGATGAAACAAGATCAACATTTTATTGACTTGTATTGTCGAAGCGAAGTACCGAAAGTTAATGAAAATGCAGGTATACATCGCGCTACCCTGTCTACCGAAGAGAGCACGTGACTGTTTAACTCACTCTCAAAGACGGAGGGTCTTTAAAATCCCAAGGTGTGTAGAAGGAGCAACTCAGAAAGTGAACTGGGGCTCCATTAAAGAAAACATTCCAAAAAGTCCTAATTTTGTTTGTTTAGTCTATTTATGGGAAATTTGGGTCTGGGAGCTCTCTACAGCGTCCTAGAAACACTTTAGATTTTAGTCATCAAACTTCCTGAAGATCGATTATTCCATCTGCAAAAGTCAACCATAAATCTCAGTTCAATATGCAATCATTTACATATGTTCAAATGCATTCCAAAACCACAGAATTGGAAGCGCTCTCACCCTAAGAAACGTTTCCGTGACGTCACGCTAACATCACCAAGCAGGGGAACTGAGTACTTCACGCCTCTGTCCTCAGCCACTGCCTTGCGCACGGTAGTAGGAAGTCCACAGACAGTTGTGAAAGGACTGAAGTTTAGAAACCTGGTCTTACCTCATTTCTCTCATCTACATCTTTGCATTTTTCTAGAAGAGCTTTCAGAGCAGGAATGTTCTCTTCTTCAACATAATTTATTACACTCTGGGAGATTAGAACTGACATCTTCACGGAAAGCTGTAGCTCCAACACCTGTGAAAAGCAGATTAGATAAAATACACGTAACTTGTGAATACAAAAGTCTAACCTTAACTTGTTCAGATACACCTCCCCTGGCAGGACTGAAAGCAAAGCGCCCTAGCTCCGCCTATACAGGGTGCAGAGTGAACCCCCAACTCCCCCAAACAGAGCATATTCCGGACAGCCATGCATGGGGGAAGCAGACACTCACGATACTTGGCATTACAGAGGGCAAGTTAATAGCTGTCCTATCGCCCAGGGACAAGTGTGGGTGACACTCTAAGGCAGCCCTGATGTAGCAGGGAGCTTCTACAGCACCTGCTCATGAGGCAGGAGGCAGCAGCTCCTGTGTCAAGGGAGAACTCATGCCCTGACTGAAGATGGCAGCCTAAAGGAGGTTAAAAACAAAGGGGAACTGGCAAAAGTAGCCCATTGTAGGAGGGCTGGGTATGAGGTCACGTAGGAAGCTCCAGGTCAGCATTGAAAAATAAGGGAGGGAAGCAAAAAGATGGCCCTCCATGGGGTAGTGAGGAAGCAACACCCAGTTGTGTGGGTCGGTAATGAAGAGGGCAGCCACGGAAGAGAGCTTGGGCCACACCGCCTGTAGTGAGCAGGCAGCCACGGGAAAGCGGCCCTGAGGGACTGGGCCACGTGGCTTGAGAGCGAGAGCAGCAAGCAGCTGTGCAGTCAGGCTTCACCGCGCCACAGCCTGCTGAAGCAGGAAGGAGGCATGCAGCTGTAGCGGGTGCAGGCTGGACTGAGAAAGAGGAGCCCCACTGGGAAGCCGACCTGGAGAACCCAGGGGGATCACAGGGACCTGCCCGACCACACACGGGTTCAGGGGAGATGCCCAAAATGCTGAACTGTGACTGGGGGACGCTGACTTCCACATCTCCGAAGGACATATGGAGAGGCCACTCTTTGGGAGGCATGCCTCCCTGGACCTCACCACAGTGCAGTGCAACACAGCACATGTTCTCCCGGACAACTGCACGGAGGCACATGTTCTCCCTGTGCTCTCCCAGACCACTGCATGGAGGCACGTGTTCTCCTGACAACTGCACGGAGGCACATGTTCTCCCGGACAACTGCACAGAGGCACATGTTCTCCCGGACAACTACATGGAGGCACGTGTTCTCCCGAGCCACTATTGGAGGCACGTGTTCTCCTGACCACTGCACGGAGGCACGTGTTCTCCCGGGCCACTATTGGAGGCACGTGCTCTCCCAGACCACTGCACGGAGGCACGTGTTCTCCTGACAACTGCACGGAGGCACGTGTTCTCCTGACCACTGCAGGGAGGCACATGTTCTTCTGACCACTGCATGGAGGCACGTGTTCTCCCGGGACACTGCATAGAGGCACGTGTTCTCCCGGGCCACTATTGGAGGCACATGCTCTCCCGGACCACTGCACGGAGGCACGTGTTCTCCTGACCACTGCACAGAGGCACGTGTTCTCCCAGGACACTGCATGGAGGCACGTGTTCTCCCGGACCACTGCACGGAGGCACATGTTCTCCCGGACCACTGCACGGAGGCACGTGTTCTCCCGGACCACTGCACGGAGGCACGTGTTCTCCCAGACCACTGCACGGAGGCACGTGTTCTCCCGGGACACTGCATAGAGGCACGTGCTCTCCCTGACCACTGCACGGAGGCACGTGTTCTCCCGGACCACTGCACGGAGGCACGTGTTCTCCCGGACCACTGCACGGAGGCACGTGTTCTCCCGGACCACTGCACGGAGGCACGTGTTCTCCCGGGACACTGCATAGAGGCACGTGCTCTCCCTGACCACTGCACGGAGGCACGTGTTCTCCCGGGCCACTATTGGAGGCACGTGTTCTCCCGGGCCACTGCACGGAGGCACGTGTTCTCCCAGGACACTGCATAGAGGCACGTGTTCTCCCGGGACACTGCATAGAGGCACGTGCTCTCCCTGACCACTGCACGGAGGCACATGTTCTCCCGGACCACTGCACGGAGGCACATGTTCTCCCGGACCACTGCATGGAGGCACGTGTTCTCCCAGGACACTGCATGGAGGCACGTGTTCTCCCGGGACACTGCATAGAGGCACGTGTTTTCCCGGGCCACTATTGGAGGCACGTGTTCTCCCGGACCACTGCATGGAGGCACGTGTCCTCCCGGGACACTATTGGAGGCACGTGTCCTCCCGGGACACTATTGGAGGCACGTGTTTTCCCGGGCCACTATGGAGGCACGTGTTCTCCCGGGACACTATTGGAGGCACGTGTTCTCCCGGGCCACTGCACGGAGGCACGTGCTCTCCCTGACCACTGCACGGAGGCACGTGCTCTCCCTGACCACTGCATGGAGGCACGTGTTCTCCCGGACCACTGCACGGAGGCACGTGTTCTCCCGGGACACTGCATGGAGGGAGGCACGTGTTCTCCCGGGCCACTATTGGAGGCTAAGGACAACACACCCCTGATGCTGGAGGAGAGAGCTGCTGCGAAAGGATGGGGACGTTGACACCCACAGTGCACATTCCAGAGGGAATGGAGACCTGTTTGGGGGCCAGCTCAAGAACAGATAAGGACACGGGGGACTTCTGGTCACAGTGTGGCTTGGAGCCTGGTGGGGGGCAGGGGAAGTGCTGGGTCTCGTGGGAGAGCAGGGCTCTGAGCAGGATGCTCCCAGCACCCCCGAGGCTGCAATCCTGTAAGTAAAAGCCCATTTCCCTCAACACTAATTGTTGGGTCGTGCGCTGAGGCGCCACAGGGATGGGCCCAGGTCTGCTCAGTTACGGGCTGTCCAGATGCCCACCCTGTCTCTCCAAGACGCACACTCGCATCAATCTAACTCGTCCTAACTCCCAACTCCAGACCCATCCCTCACACCCTTCCCAGAGAGAAGAAGGGGCTCCACTGTCCCCCCTGCTTTCTGCCCCGCCCTGTGAGATGGCAGCTCCAGTCCCCATCTTGCAACACCAAAACCCACGACTTGCCTCGTCTTCTCACACAGGGTCACTCTTAGCAAATCCTCTTGGTTCTACTTAGCAAATCCTCATGGCACAACTTACCACCTCCATCACAGCCACGCTGGTCCAAGCCACCATGACCTTCACCTAGACCCCAACGACTCCTCCTACCTCCATTTTGCCTTCCCCACAGTCTATGCCCACAAGGCAAGCACAGCGACCTTGTGAAGCTGTGAGTTGGCCTGAGCTTCTTAAACCTTAACAGTGGAGGCCTCTAAGAGCCCTGGGGGCTGGTGCTCCTTGGGGATTCTAATGAGGGTCGGGGTGGAGGGGTGTCTGGGAGGGGTCCAGACCCTGCATCTTTAACGAGCCCCTCCCCCCACCCGTGGTGATGCTGTGGCTGCAGCTGCCAGCTGAAGAACTCCCCGTGGGTGGCCCTGAGTCAATTTCATCCTTCCTCCCTCCCTTGGCCTCTCCAAGCAGGGGTACAGTCCCTTAGTGCAGGGGGCAGGGTGTCACACTACCAACCTCAACGCTACCACTCCACACCCACGTCACTGCTCGGACACACCCAGGTCACTGCTCGAACACACCCAGAGCTGTGCTGCCCTGAGGCCTGTGCGCCAGTCTTTCTGTCTGCCCAACTTCTCACCCCCCACGCGAGCCCATGGCCGCTCCATCACGTCCTCCAGTCGCCTAGCGGAGGATCTGCCTGTGCCACATAAAACAGTCACAGCCTCATGCTCCACAGCGGTCCCCACATTGCCCCACTCCCAAGTCCCACGGGTATGAGAGGGTTTGGGGAGTCTAGACCCTTGCACGTCCTGCCTGAAGTGGTAGTTACACACTCATTTGGCTTTGTCAAAATTCCAAGCAGAACACTAAAAAGAGTGAACTGTATGGAAAGTGTACTTCAATAATATCTTACTTTTAAATAATCATCCAAAAAGCCATGTTATTTGATGCAGTAACTTCATTCTAAGAATCAATTCTAAAAGCAAAAGAAACATGGAGAAAGATTTTAATGTTACATTTTGTCCTTATGACTGAAATTGTGTTGTCACACAATTCTAGCCACAGTACAAAACCTCAGAGATGGAGGGTCACATAAATTATGATACATTCACACTGGAAAAACACACAGTCATCAAATGTTTCCAAAATGTGCACTGATAGGAAAATGCCTGTGCTACACTAACAGGGAGAGAAAAATCAGCCTAACAAGACCGTATTACAGTACCTCGACTATATAAAACATATACACTCTTAAATACTGAAGTGACATTAATGTAATTTTTAATTTTCTGTAGAACCTTCATATCTGGGTTTTCTAGAATGGGTGCTTTCATCACTGGAGACCAGTACGAGACGTGTGCTAACAGACGCCACCAACATTCGACACCTCCATCTACTTCCACGTCTTACAGGGTCAAGTCTGACAACACCTGAGAGAGGCAGCGGGGACGTGGCCCTGCCCACCGCTCCCCATGACCAGCATCCCCCGACCAGCAGCAGCCCTTGGAGCGGCTCCACATGCCCACCTTCACCCCGGCTGCCCCCTGCACTGCAAGCACCTCTCGCGCCCACCTGCCAGACCATCTCTCTCTCTCTCCAGAGCGCAGCAGTTCCGTTTTCTGCCCCATTACCTCCTCACGCCCAACATCTGCCAGCCCCACTCTCAGGGCCTCGGTGTCCGGCCTTCACCACCCACACGCTAAGTAAGACTACTAACAGCGCGAGAGACAAACTTAACCTAGACTGGGCAAAACAGAACATTATTTTAAGGATACTGGTTTATTTCCCGCAACCACACTGTGGGGAAGATGGGTGCCCCTGGACTTCAAATGCTGGCAGAATTCTCATTCTCTATGGCTTAATCCTCTTTCCTTCTAGAGCAACTTCTACACAAGCGGGAATGTGGCTGCCAACAGCTAGGCAGCCAAAATCAAACAGTTTCTGAAACTAGAGAAAGTCTGAATTTGATCCCAGATCCGAAAGTTCCCCAAAAGGCTCTGACTACCGAGACTGTGTCAGGTGCCCACGCAGAACCAACCAACTATAGTCATGGACACAGTCACAGTCACAGGGCTGGGAAGGCATCACAAGGCCACAGCGTGTCCACACCGTTTCCAGAAAAGAGGAACTGCTCTGCTCTAGGCGCTGGCCCCCAACAGGTCCCCTGCCCTGCCACGCCTCTCGCTGCAGCCCCAGGACTGTCTCCCAGCCCGTGCTGCCTCCCACCCATCTCCCCCTCCTCCAGTCCGTTGCTACATGGAAGCAAGAGTGATCAGAAACACACTTCTCTTTAAGCCCTTTGGCTGGTGAACCGTAGACTCACGCTGGGAGAACAGAAGATGATGGCTTCATTACGCACAAGTCAGCCATGGCCCAAAGCCCTTGCAAGCCTTTCAAAGCCACTGTAAAGATCAGACTCCACAACCCCCTCTAAGGAAGGCTGTGCTCCATGCAGAGCAGTGAGGACTCACGAACTCAATTCTTCATAGTGACGGCGAGGACAGGCAGCGGTCACGGCCTGGCTCTGTCCCAGCACTCCAGTCTCGTCTGTCGCCCTCCCACCCTCTGCCCGGCCCTGCCTCCCCACTCACAGCCGCACTGCCAGCCACAGCCAGACTAACCTTCTCCCACGCCTGTGGCTGCCCCCATCACTTCCTGTTCTCCAGGTCTTTGCACTCACTGCCCCTGCTCTTAGGATGCCCATCCCCCACATGTGGGCCTGGAGAGCAGCTCCTCCTTCCACATCATCTCCTGGAAGCCTGCCCACACAGTGCTCACGCTAAGCAGCCTGTGTCCCTGCTCTGGGACACCTCCACCCCCCCCATGGACAGCTAAACTTAGACTGCTCATACCGAACTTGGCCTCCCACCCCACTCACCCTTGTCCACATCTGCCCTCAGCTCCCACCTCCCTCTAGCCCAGTGCCTGCATCCCAGGGGCAGAGAAAGAGAAAAACAGCCCCTTGGTCAGGCCCTGGTGTCCTCTGGGGACCATAAACAACCTCCCAGAACACCAGCATCAGAGGAGGTCACTCTGCCTATGACATCAGGACAAAAACAAGACCATTGGAAATCACATCTGAACACAGGACAAAAATATGAGCCTTGTCCAACCTTCATTTCAATGACATCTCTTCTATGTCATTGACAAAAAGGCCTTCTTCATAAAGTGCAGTTCAGCACAGTGCTAGAAAGCAAGGGCCCTGAGCTGGGTTGCCTTGGGTGGACTCCTGACTTGACTATTTACATTTTATCACCATGGACCCATTTCCTGACCTCAGTGCGTAAGTTTCACCATCTTCAAATAACTGCACAGTTTAAGTGAAAAGGGGTTAAAATAGTGCCCAGCACATGCAGACTGGAGAACTACTAGCCACTGTACATGACCACAGAATGTTACCATTTCTTCACTCTCATTTCTGAGTGGCTTCCCCTCACCTGGACTATACCTGTCACAGGGTCCTTTTGGTTTAAGGTTTAATTCCCATTACAGCCCTTTTCTAAACTTGTCACTTAGATACCTGCCTGTTTGGTAGTTGTCTCTCCCACTAGGATCTAAGTCTAGTAAGAGAAGAGACTCCTGTCTTCTGCCCCAGCTCAGCTGAGTATCGTCCAGCCTCGCTGGAGAACAAAGAACCCAACCTGCTGGAGGTGATTCCCGACCAGGGCTCTGCACCGGGCGCCCTGTAGTGCTTTCAGAAATCCTCGGGGGTCTGATCTCTAGTGTCACCGAAGCGTGGGCACCCACAAAATGTATCCGAACCCCACTACGGGTCCGGAGGGGCGTCGCCTGGCCACACCCCCGGCCAGCTGAATGGGACTCTCCAAGGACAAAGCTGCCTTGTGAACCAGCGCCCCTGATGGACAGTCGAGAGGGCTGCATACAGAATTATTACCAGGAAAATGATCCTCATTGTTTTACGTTTCTGTCTGTCAGAACGACTTGAAAGAAAAATTATCCAACGTGGGTGGTGACCAAGAAATCGTTTCCGTGGCAATAAATCGCACAGGGGAGAAATCGATGGCTTGCCGCTCCACTGCCAGGCGTTTGAAGTCCAGCACAAGACAATGGAGCCATGGGGCCCAGGAGGACAGCAAAGCGGGGTCCCAGCACAGGCCCCGCGCACGCCCGCCTCTGTGGAGGTCAGGGGCGGGGTACTCCGGGCAGCGGAGAAGCGGGTGGCGGTTCCGCACCCAGAAAATAACTGTTTCGCCCCGGCCGCTACCTCCGCCCCCACCCCGAGGCGACTGCCGGACCCGGAGAAACCGGCCTAAGGCCATAAGTCCGAGACTTCCCAGCCCTTAAGCCGGAGCGCACTCCCAGGGTCCCCGGGCCCCCAGGCTCCCCGGCCTCGCCCTCCTCCCCGGCCGGCCATCCTGCGAAGCGGACCAGGACACTCACCGTCTAACAGCCAGCCAAAGACAGTTCGGGCGGGAATGGCCCGCTTTGCCGCCGGCGCTGTTAGAAACCGGGAAATGCGGACGAGGCAATTTCCAGCACGACCCCCTCCACACACCCGGCGGCCATTTTCCTCCTTCTCCCCGACCTGACAGATCACGTGGCTGCGAGAGGGCGGGGCGGCGCGTGGCCACGCCCCCAGACGCCTGGCCGCCCCAGTGGCCGAAGCCGGAGGGGCTCCCGGCGTCGGCTGGCGGGCTCGCGCTGGTATGTGCACTGCACGCGAGTCCCCAGGCCCTGCCGCCCTGCGCGTCCTAGAAAGCTAGAAAAAAGCTTCCAAACCGGTGTTTTTGACAAGCGCCAGGCAATATTCGCGTCCCTGTCAACGTCGCTCTTCTTGTCCTGGTTAATTTATATTCCCAATTCCCCATCAGAACCTAAGCTTACGCAGAGACCTACAAAGCCAATGTAACTTCGGAAGACGTTGCAAATGAAGGCCAACTCACATCCCTTCCCTGGGGTCCCAAGGAGAGTCTCAGCCTTCTCTGAACGCGCACGGGGGTCACCACTCCTGGTCCTGAGGGCCTGCCGGCTCCCCCAAACCCCCTCCACAGTCCCCTCCCCCACACGCCCTCCACAGTCCCCGGGGTCTGGCTTCCACCCCCATCTCTGCCGAGGTGATTTCTGACTTGCCCCACCAGCCAGTTGGCCATATTTCAGTTCCTGGAACGCTGGGCCAGGCTCTTCCTCCTCCTCTCTTTTCCAAAGTGCTGTTCCCACACCTGGACATTCTTGCCTGCCTGCGTCCGGCTGATCCCAACAGATGAAGCCTCTTTATCTTTTAGGATACAGTTCACGCAGTCCCCTCCTCCGTGAGCTCCGCGGATGACCCCACACAGATTTGTCATTCCACCACCCAGACTCACCTTTTACTCCAAGGTACCGAGGACGCAGTAGGTGCTCAAAAGTACGTCTTAAAGCAAATTTTAACCTGTTTACTTGTCTTCTCCCCGCCCCCCCCCCCCCCCCCCGCCCCTGTCCACTCCATACTCATTCCACACCAATTCCCCTCACAGTTTGAAACAGCGTCTGTCTTTGGCAAGCCTTTCAGGCAGAAAGCAATTTACCGCCCCACCATGCACTTTGGGACGCTTTCATTGTCCCAGGCATGTCACCAACAACTGAGGGAACCATACTCTTTGCTGACTTTATCCACCGGGAGATGTTTTTCAATAGTTCCAAACCTTGGCACATCAAAAACATCTGTGGACCTTTGAAAACATCAACACAACACTCGTTGGGAATTTTAAAATGTCTCCCCAGCGAAACACCATCCTCAGACTTGGGTTTTGGTCCCACTGTGTCCAAAGCGGTGACTTCAAATATGAACATCCCTTTTTAATGTCAAACTGCTCTCGAGGACCTACACAGGGCTAGCAGGCAGCCTTTTAGGAGCCTCTGGTCCTGAGAGCTACAGGGGACTGGAATCTGTGGTTCCAGAGGGACTGGGCACCCAGCGTGGGGACCTGTGCTCTAGATGAAGTCCCCCTGTACCCACTAGTGTCACTTTCCCGGGTTTCTTGCTTCAGCAGATCACTGAAATCATTTCAAGAGCCTGGCTTTTCTTCTTGTCCTGTGGATTTATGTAGAAGGAAACTCTGAGCTATCTCTCCATGCTCCCCCGGGAACTGTCCCTGGAACTGTTTTTCTCGGCCACACCAGCGTGTTGGGATGGTGGTGCCAGCGATCCAGTCCTTTCACATGGCTTCAATTTCATCACAGGTAGAGTTTTCCCTGGAAGCCTTAGGATGGTTTGCACAGGGTTCTGCTTTTAACATTGTCTGTCTCTGCCCTGGCTGGCGTAGCTCAGTGGATTGAGCTTGGGCCTGCGAACCACAGGCTCGCAGTTTGATTCCCAGTCAGGGCACGTGCCTGGGTTGTAGGCCAGTTCCCAGCAGGGGACGCATGAGAGGCAACCATACATTGATATTTCTCTCCCTCTCTCCTTCCCTTACCCACTAAAGATAAATAAGTAAAATCTTAAAAACAAAACAAAACCCATTCCTTAAAAAAAAAAGAATTAAAAAATAAAATTGTCTCTGATTATAAAAGGCAAATGCATTCATTATAAAATATTTGAAAAATACAGAAACATTTGAGGAAGCTATCTCCATTAATCTCACCACTCAGAGTTTCCTGACCCCTTAAACAAGGACTTGAAGCAAAATTTTTATTAACCCAAGTCATTATTTGAAACATCCATTATTGAAAAGGGGACGCGTCCCAGGGATGCCCCCAAGATCTCATTCTGTTGCCTTAGTTGATGATGCCTGTCTCCATCACACCTCGTGACGTCTTTGCCAGAGTCGTCCCTTCTGCATAAAAGACGCACAGATGGCCGTTTCTTCTTCTCTGGGGCGGCACCGGGAAAAAGGGATGCACAACAGCACAGAGTTAAGGACAGAGAGAGAGAGGCCACAGAGAGGGGAAACCATAGAACCCTGTGTTCAAGAGGGGATGGGGTGGAGAGAGAGAGAAGCAGAGAGAGTTGGAGAGAAGAGAAACAGTATAACTGACTTTGTATCAGTTCATGTGAAAGGAACTTTAGGGTTTTTTAAAAGATTTTATTTATTTTTAGAGAGAGGGGAAAGGAGGGAGAAAGAGAGGGAGAGAAACATCAGTGTGTGGTTGTCTCTCAAACACCCCCAGCTGGGTACCTGGCCCACAACCCAGGCACATGCCCTGACTGGGAATGGAACCAGTGACCCTCTGGTTCACAGGCTGGTGCTAAATCCACTGAGCCACACCAGTCAGGGCTCAACTACTTTTATTATTAATGATTCTGTTTTATTTCTGTAGTTTTTTCCTCTCTCTAAAACCAATGTTTAACCTAAAGATAACTACTTTTCTTATTTGCTTCTTGTGAAATATTTAAACCTGTTTCTTTCGACTTCCAAATTGCCTACCAAGTGGTTCTTTCTTGAATTAAACTGACTTCAACATGATTTATTTATGCATTTGGCTTTTCTGGAACCAATACAACACTTCAAATTACTATCACTTTGTAATCAGTTGCAGTATTTTCTAGAGTAAGTTCTCCAAGATTATCCTTCTCAGCCCTTTGCACTTTGGCTGCACGTCCTTCTCTGAGTCCCCGGTAACTGATGCCTTTCATCATCATTATCATCATTTTTCTGACATTTTCTCCTCTCCCCTCTGGACTCCGGTCACTCACATGCTCGACCTTTTAACCATAGCCACTGTTCTCTTGGCCTCTTGTTTGTGTTTCCTGTCTTTTATAGTCTCCTCACGCTTTGCTGTGGATATCTTGATATACACTTGGAAGAGGAAGAGGTTAATTGCATTTGGAGGAAGCTGGAAGGACCTCTTAGTCAAGATAACATTTGAGCAGGTTTTTCCTGGCAGACTGTCTAGAACTTTCTCTGGGCAGAAGTATTTTACTTAAGCAGGGATTTGAGTGGCGTACAGTCAAAAAATGACAAATGCAATTGTATAACCATAATATGGGAGGGAAACGGGGTGTCGGAAAAAAGTAGATACCACTAGTTGAATACCAGTGTATCAGATATCTGGAAACTAAGCCTGAAGCTACAGCGACCAGTGTAATGCTGGTGACCCCAGCACACGGCGTCCCCTGGAGCCCTACCAGGAGACTGCTCGTGAGAAAACGAGGGGAGAGCTGCGGGATGTCTCAGCGGAGCATCTCAACGGTGGGATCAGCTTCCATTCACTCGTTAAGTCACTGTACCTGTTCCCATCAATGAGTCCTCATCACAGGCCAAGCTCCTCTCAATAGGGAATGAGCCTAAGATCCGCTCATCCCACCAACAGTGGCTGTTTGCCACATGCTCAACCCTCTTCTAGGCGGCAGTACGAGGACAGACAGGGGAGCGAGGGCAAGTCCCTGCCATCCGCCCTCTCGGAACTCACATCCCAAAGCGGGAGGCACGCAACCGCCCGGCCACTGACAGACGGGTGGGCCACAGGTGGTCCTAGGTGCTGTGGAGAAGGTGAACAGCCCAGGGGCAAAGGTCGAGGGGCAAAGGCCGAGGGGCGAAGGAGGAGGCCGTGCACTCGGAGGAAAGGTTGGAGCGGATGGGGCAGTAGGGTCAAAGTCCCAGGCTGGTGACAAGCTGGGCGTGTCCAGAGAACAGGAGAAGGTCCAGGAGGTGGGGCGGTATGGTCAGGGGCGAGGGAAGGAGCAGACGAGACCAGAGGCTAGGCCAGCAGGCGTTTCGGTGTTACTGCAGGGAAGAGGGGGTCCCCGGGAGACTTTGAGAGAGCAGGGACTCAGCTGCCCTGTTTCAGAAATGCCACCTGCTGCCTGTCTGGGTGGAAGTGGGGAGGGTTTGCAATGCCACAAGCAAAAGGCAAGAGTGGTTCGGGCCGGGGCGGCAGCCGTGCAGGGGGAATGTCAGGTTGTGGGTGTGTGTGGGAGCAGATGCCCAGCGCCAGAGGCAGCTGCGAACACCAAGCTGGCCTGTCCCAGCCGAGACCAGCAGCTCGTCCCTGCCACGTCCCTTCCATCGCAGTCCTGCAAAGTCGGAAGACCTGCACCTACTGAAAAAGGAAGCTCTCCCGTGTACACACACCCGCGAGAGAGAACACCCGGCCAATCCTGTGGGGAGACGTTCCGCACGACCCCTGCCCAGCCTTCCTCCAAGCTGTCAGGTCCTGAGAAGAGACAGGGAAGTTGAGGCATCGTCCCGCCAAGGAGACATAATGACTGAATGTGAAGCGCCCTGCTCAGGACCCTGGGGCAGAAATGAGCACTGGGAAGCACCAGGCCAGGAGATCTGAGTACGGCGAGGACTTTAGGTAATAATGTGTCCACAGTGGTGCACTAGTCGTGACGGAAGTGCCACACGTAGGATATTAACGGTTGGGGAGCACTTGCCGGCGTCCCGTTTTCTGTCAATGTAGAACTACTGCAAAATAAGGTGATACATACATTTAACGTTTCAGCCATTTCCAATGCCCTTCCCTCTCTCTCATCAGAGTCCCTCAGCTTTTAGGACAGAAACCTGGGCCCCGGCACAGCGAGGGGCCTCAGCTGGTTGAGGGAGGGGTAAGGCCATGAGCCAAGGTCACTGGGACTGGAGGATGATGGGGTCATAGACGTGACGGAGCCTGC